TCTCACTTATATGTGCGAACTTTGTTATCAGCATCACTATGAAATAACCGGATCTTTTAATACTGCACGTAATAATAACGTCGCTTTTTATCGGATAATCGTGGCGATAATATATATACACACTATAGATCTTTTTACGCCGTGATCAAACAGTTCTTCTTCGATGCCGAATTGGACACACTAAAACTACCCACTCTTATCTCCTCACAAATGACAATGCCCCTTTCTGTGTAGGTTGTAATGAAAATTTTACTGTCAAGCATTTTCTTCTTGAATGTCATGATTTTTCACAGGCCCGTAATAGATTTTATTCTGTAAACTCACTCAAAGAACTTTTTAATACAATTCCATCAAAAAACATAATTGATTATTTAAAAGAGATAAACTTAAAAGAGATAAATCTAATTGGCTCATTTCTATTGTCATTTACAATGTTTTACATAATATTTTAAGCCTATTATAGCATTCGGCACGATATGGCCAGTTATGTGTTGACGTGCCGTAAAAATCCAAACAAACAAACAAACAAAACGACGCGGTCCGTTACTATGAAAAATTGACCGGAAGTAGTATCTTTTCGCGCCTGCGCAATTTGCGTACGGCCAAAAAAAAAGGCTTGCCCTACATAGAAATGTAGTAGAAATTCATAGACAATTCCGAGTTAGTTTAAGGTAAAAATTAGAAAATCATATAAAATAGCTTTTAACAGAAACACAAAAGATGCCTTAAAAGTTTTGTGGCCAAGGATGCCCAAAAAGGCATGGAAAAGACGAATCCCTTACGATCACGCGCCTGACATTGAGATTATTGTTGTAAAAAATATGGAAATATATATATTAGCATATAAAGAAGTCATTTTATTTGTTGTTGAAATCGTCCATATAAAAACTATTTTATAACATATAATATATAACATTTCTATATAAATTTTATAACTTTTAAAATCGAGGTTAATTATCATTTCTGAAAAAGAAAAGTCGGAACATGTGATGTAATGCATTTTTAGTTTTCAGTTTAGCTAATTTCATCATTTATCCGACTTGACTGAGATGCCAAACAGAAAGTTTTAAGTCACATATATATTTAAATAATTTTTCAAACTCTTAAGAAGTTAAAGGGACTCCACTGAGGTTTAAAAGATTAAAATTATTACATTTGAATTTCTTACATAAATGAGCTAGGGCACTTTAAACAGACATATATATGCAAAGATAGTTAAGAAATATACTTTGAAATAACTTGAAAATCGTATTTTTATGATTCTCTTAGCCTGATTTGAGTGAAAAGCGTTTAAACGCTTTTCATTTTGGGTCATTTTTTCACAATTTGAATAATTATTCTGTAAAAACGAAGTGCGCGAATGATCTTAGCTTTTGCACAAAGATTAGTGGTCTAAACCTACATCAAATGGTACATTTATCTGGAAAAAAAATTTCAGTCCCATCATGTACAAAAAATCAGTGGAGTCCCTTTAAGGTAGTGTAATAACACATATTTTATCCGGTTCCTTGTATGGAAATGTACGTCACGTACACAATTTGTCACTTCACAAAATCAATAAACATTGATGAGATTGGTATAAATAACAGTAACTTACTAATTACGATTAATCATTTTAATTGTTTTCAGTAACTAACTATGTCATGGTACTTAATCGACCCGTTTGAATGATATTATAACTAGCTGGCTTATTTTGTATATCTGTTATAAATATCAATTCACGTTTTAAGTACTTACCGCTTTAATTCACCCCTAAAATTTCTGTTTTCTGGATGACATAACTTGAAATCACGTCTTTTAAAGCCTTTAATTACGCTAAAATGTATTGTATCGTTATTGCGCTTTTGTCCTACGCATGATGCGCATGCGCGAAATGCAACATGCGTTGCTATGGAAAAATCGTACTGTAAAAAGGTCTATACACGACTGCTGTCAAATTATGAAAACATTCCAATCTTTGTCCTCTCTAATAATATTTGAATGAAGTTTGATGTATTCTAATTATAAATTCGGTAAAAGTCGGATTATGCAAACAATTGTGTACAATACAACTCTCGCCTAGCACCTTGGGTTAAATATGAAAAACAACCGTTTATGCCGGCTCGCCACGGCGAGCCGGTATTACGTTAGGATTTTACTGAGAAACAACCTAAAACCCCAAATCCATCCAAAAATTTAATCGAAGCTTAGCTCCCAGCTTTCTACAAAATTTATCTATCAGGGCTAGGATCCAAAATTATTTAGCCAATCAAATTTGATCTTATAAAGCGTCAAAAAACCTTCAATTTTCACGCCATTTTTAAAAAACAGCACGTATTGTTTTGAGCTAAAAGATATAATGATGATTAAAATGTTTGTTTTCATGGATTCTTTTCAGTAAATCATATTTACACTGACTTTTGATTTAGCGATTTCGCCAGTCCTGTTTACTCTGTAGTAAGTTTTCGTTTGGTTAATTAACATAAACGACATCTGGTTCTGTGCATTTTTTTCATTTTCCTTTTTCCGGTCATTTCATCCTTTCCGGTATTTAGTGTATGTATTTACTGGCCGGGATCCGGGAGTTTTTTTTAATTGTAAGTAATGAAAGTTAAATTGATTTAACTTAGGATATAGATATATTTAGAGCTATTTATTAACAAAATCACAATACTTATAATTATATGCCTAATTAATTGGAAAAATCAAAGACTATATTCTTGAATTGGTCAAATCCCGGGATCCCTATATGTTTTAATACGATCCCAGCTTTTCTTGGGATCTCTTTATTTTTTAATATGATCCCGGCTTTTCTGAAAACTGTATTCTTGAACTGGTCAATTTCCGGGATCCTATTTTTTAATAAGATCCCGGCTTTTCTGGCTGAATTGATTGACAACTTGTGTTTACTTAAGGAATTGTATCTGTCACTTATTCCAATACTAAATAACATATTACAACTTAACTTCGTATAAAGAGACATTTTTATGAATCTATTTTTTTCTGGTCTAGGTCAACAGGCCATATAGTAAATGTGCATAGACATAGGGACTCCATTCTATCTGTTTACATGCATCTTCATATATACTCATATTCCTCTTTGTTAAACTGAGAGAACTGGCTTCCTTAACTTTATATGTCACTTTTATTTTGATGTTCGCTAAAATCTTTTCAGCTAACAGAACTGTCATTTTTACATTTAATTGTTCTATTCTGTTCAGTATTAATTGTTGTTTTGTACCATTCTTCTGTAAATTGTTAAATATTGTACAATGTTTGTAACACGTTTATCCCTTTTCATATGTAATTGAAAGTATATTGGCTATATGTATGCTCATGCTATTTTATGCCAAATAAAGATTATGTTATGTTATGTTATGTTATTTAAACACGCCCCTGGAAAGAAATTACGAAGCGAGTCGCTACTAGCTTTTTTAAAAGCTAACCTTGTTTAGGTGCAACATTAGTCTCTAAAAAGTCTTTAAAACTAATAATATACACATAAAATCAGCAGTGACAGATCAAGTTAAAGAACAGAAGTAGGCTTTTATGTATCTTCCACACCAACGTACCAACTCGATACTTTTATCTTTTTCAACATGGTTTCTTTGTGTACGGTCTATCGGGAGTAAGATGTATGACTGTACGAAGATCAACAGGAACCTACAAAGTATTTTTATACATATGCCAATATTTAATTTAATGTCATGATTTTTTGGCACATATATAAGGTAGATCTCCACTTTGAAGGTGGAAAATATTTTTGGTAGTTTATTTTTTGTAAAGAAATACGAATGTAGATTCGTAATAAAGATGATCAATATGCTCATTCAAGAAATATAAAATCGTTTTCCTTAAATTAAAGCATTAACTTAAAGCGTAATGGCTTTCCTTTATATAAGAAGATGAGCTGTATATAATAAATTGAAAATAAAAATATATTCTGTTCTATATAATACAGGGTGGCCAACCCATTTTGGATATCGTAGTTATATATTATTCGAAGCATATTATATCATAAGATCAAAGCGCTCAAACCACTTCATATACAAAGGCATGATAGTCCCACATTATAACACCAATCTTATAAGAAGATGAATGCGACGCGTTTAGGTGTCATGTGTTCATCCCTGCAGTAATATAACTAATGTGCCACAGGAAAGTTTGAGATTTATATGTGACACAAGGCACTGTCATTTCTTCGATGTCATTGTGCAAATTCCAAATATTTTCTGCAACATATGCTTATGTTTTCTTCCAGTTATGTCCCTTTATTGAATAAAAAACAGCTGCATGTTTAATTATTTAGACACAAAAGTATGTAAGATACAATTACAGGTTTCTTGAACTCCGCATCATTCCTAAAAGCGAAAAATAATTTGAAATAAAATAAGCGTTCATGGAAGCTTTGGTGTTTAATTGTCCCTCTGAAGTCATTCTATTTCTTTAAAGCGTTGTTTGGAAATATGAAATAGAAAAATTGAATGTTCTGCGAGCCTTGTAATGCTGAAAATTGCGTTTATGATTCTTTAAAGTCAAACAACGCTGTATATTTAGCATAACAAGATATTTTATAGAAATGTGTAAGTAACTTACAGAATAAAAACATGGTTCTAACACATTTGTTTTAGTGGTAACTGAGCTGTTAGGACTTCGCACGCATTAACAATTAATACAACTTAAGATTGCATTTAAAGATGTTGAAATGATACAAATGAGCCGTGTCACGACAAAACCAACATAATGCGTTTGCGACCAGCATGGATTCAGATCAGCCTGCGCTGATCAGGATCCATGCTGTTCGCTTATCAACCCTATTACAAGTAGAGAAACTGATAGGGAACAGCGGTTGCCCAGGCTGATCTGGATCCATGCTGGTCGCAAACGCACTATGTTGGTTTTGTCGTGACGCGGCTCAAATGTAGTTCATTATTAAGTGAATTATCTTTAATTGATAACAAGGATCCTCATTATAATATCCCTTCATGAAAAATCCTCCCGGACACAATGTTAGTTTACAGTGAAAACGCTAGGTTTTAATCTAATATAAAGTAAGTTTGCATCATTAAGTGGTAGTATTTTAGTAGTCTTACATGACACTAAAATCAGACATATTTAAAATCTAAATTAATACTGAAGTGTTTCAATACTTGTTTAACAGAATATAAAATACAACAACACTAATTCAGGTAGGAATTTTGAAGTTTATGATTTGTATAATTGAGAAAAATTATCGGTCTCAGAGGTGTATATTGGTCTTTTAACACCGGATTGGAATTTTGATGAAAGCCGTACGCCTGGCTGGTTCATTTTTTTTTAATTTTCGCATCAAAACGACAATTTAAGAGGATATATATATTAAGGAAATTTTGTTTGTTTGTGTTTACGATGAAATTTTCACTGTATTTTAACCAGAAAACCTATATGTATACCATGACTATTCATGAATATTATTATGATTCAGTATTAGAGAATGATTTATTAATAGATAACTTAGAATTCTTATTAAAATGTGCAGGAAAAAAAGCTTCTTTGATAAAATCGCCACCGGACTACTCGAACCCATTGTGGACAGGGGCATTAGGGCAATAAATACTTGCCAACAAAAGCATACAAAACTTAATCTGCTCAGTCAACAATTTTACATTATGTTACATATACAGATATATATATATGTATACATATATACATTTCTATGGAACTTTGAATATTTTGTTAATCTGATGAACTGATGTGTACATAACCAACAAGCTTTAACCGAACCGTTCTGGTGGCCACTGAATTAACCCAAGATCAGCCAGCACATCCGCGCCGTCTGCCTGATCATGGTCTGCACTGTTCACTATACAGTCAGTACATATTTTGAAATTTTTCTTAGGATAAATGATTTTGTCCAGATAGAAATTTAAGATATTTAGTATGGCAAGGATTAAATGTGTCACATGGAGAGTTTAATATTTTCGTCTTCTTATTTTACAATTTCTTTCTTCATTTACATCTATTAAATGTTTTAATATTTTTTTTATTTTCAGAACTACAATCGATCTGTTTGAGAAAATGAACAAGAGTATGCGTATAGGAATATTAATACAGGGTGTTTCTGTAGTTATCTGTATAATAAGTTTGCGTCTGCCGCAATGGTATACGGCTGAACATGGACATGTCGGATTGTTTAAAATGTGTATTTTTGATGTATGTGCCGCAATTAAAAATGGTAATGTTTAAGTATTACGAACGAATACCTAGTATTTCAAAAAACACATCATCACAATTTTTTAAAACTTGATGAAACTTGTCACAATATGACACTTAGAAAAAAATGATTTTATACATTTTTATCACATACCCGTCGGTAAAACTTTAAACATTTTTTACAACCAAACTATGATACAATGGATTATTGTTGCATCTAAATAACTTACTATCGACTTCATAAACAAAATGCCAGTTTACATTTCTCCCTACTTATACTTTACTTATTTTCATATATGGTCATTTATGACCGCCAAATGGCTGCCAGTTTTGATCATATTGTAAAACTCGGGAACTACCTATAATTACTAGCAATAAAGGTTCTGTTGGTGACGTTTGCAATCATTTTTGAAATTTAGGTCAAGTAGTCTTTCATTGATTTGAAGTGATGAAGTAACAAGTAGATTTTCTTACACATATACACGTATGGGTGTCTTTTATTTTCAGCACCGGACTGGATTGAAGGCTCACAAGCTACAATGATCATGGGATTTCTTGCTCAGTGTTTGAGTATCGCAGTCTGCGTGTTGTACACTTACAATATGGAAGACAAAAGATATCTTTCACGATTTGCTTTCTTTGCAAGTTTTGCCGCAGGTAACTAAATTCGTCTAGCATCAATTTTGTTTGTTAAACTTACTACTAGTAATTCATTAATGATTAAATAAAAAAGACATAAAAAATATGACCTTTAAACATATATAGACATTTTTACGACGCGGTCCGGTTGCTATGAAAAATTGACCGGATGTAGTATTTTCTCTCGCATGCGCAATCTGCATAGGACAAAAGAGCATCGTCCTATATAGGAGTGTAGTAACGACTTTGTAACTTGTTCGCACAACATAATATATCGTGCGCACGATACAGTATCTCGTGCGCACGAGATCAATAACATACACACATGTCATCTCTGTCCCACCGTATATATGTTATTAATATCAATTCACTTTTTAAGTCATCCCAGAATAACTGTTTTCCAGATGACATAACTTGAAATCGCATTCATTAAAGCCTGTAAGTTTGGGAGAGAAAAAAGGAATATTGCCCATAAATTTTGTATTTTAGGAGTTCAATGCTTTAATAATGTCACTAGCAAATTATCGTACACCTTTATTGGTTATTTATCAAAATAAACTATTATCGTGCATGTGCGAAATGCAACATCCATTTCTATGCAAATATCGTATCGTAAAAAGGTCTATTCGTCGATTTGACTAAAAATCCAACAAAGAACAACGTGTAAAGTAATGGCTGAAGGATAATTGGTCCACAGACACTTGGGGTTTGGAGCTCAAAACGCTTTTAAAATCCAAATAAAATGCATATTTGTCAATCCCAGCACATGTACTGATCATATATATCAAAAAAACTTAATATAAGCCGTTTTAAAAAAAAAATCATATGTCAACATCTATTAAGTTTTTTTATATATATGATCAGTACATGTGCTGGGATTGACAAATATGCATTTTATTTGGATTTTAAAAGCGTTTTGAGCTCCAAACCCCAAGTGTCTGTGAATTGGTCATCAAATTATGAGGACTGTATGAATTTTTCCATTGAATTAATAAAAATTGAATTATAATATTTGGCGGCATTTAAGACCATGTTTTAACTTAAATTGATTAATAGTAAACTGTGACTATGCGTCTGAGTATCGTTTCACTCCGCGTTATTAGTACCTTTGCAATGTTGCTGTATTTTTCTGTAGAGTGAGAACAATTGGAAGAACTGAATAAACGACTCGTGAATATTTTAATTGAATGTGTTTCCATGTAAATCTACAGAATTCCTATTTAATTAATAATATTGTATTGCCTATATTAGCCGCGCCATGACAAAACCAACATAATGCGTTTGCGACCAGCACGGATCCAGACCAGCCTGCGCATCCGCGGAGTCTGATCAGGATCCATGATGTTCGCTGTCAGTTTCTCTACATGTAATAGGGTTTGTAAGCGAACAGCATGGATCCTGATCAGACCGCGCGGATGCGCAGGCTGGTCTGTATCCATAATTGTCGCAAACGCACTATATTGGTTTTGTCATGGCACGGCACATATGAATTTACATCAATTCTTTTACTTCAACATTATTAAACAATATACAAATGTTTTTGAAACATTATCGTTGGCCCTTCGCTGTAAATGTTTAAAATCATTTTCATAAAGAAAAGATAGTTTTATATTAAAGTAAATATGCGTTAAGTAACTATACCTTTTCATGTTTAAAATTAGCGAAAAGATTGAAGAGAAAAAGAAAAGAAAACAAAGAAAGAAAATTTGCTGTATTGTTATAACAGTTGCGTGTCACACGACACTACCTCTAACTAACCAATCCCTTATACCAATTATAAACTCTCATACTGCAGGTGACAACTGACTCTACTCATACCATCTTTGCTGATCGTGTCGTCTTATTAATTAACCAAGACACACGTATTTTTTTAAATGACCATTTATAAACAATTTTAAAAGTATAATAAATTATACGTAAAAATGTATATATAATGATAAAATTAGCTAAATACATTCCTTTCTTAAGTTTCCTGTAAAGACATTTTGTGTAAAATAATGTACATATGAGCCGCGTTATGACAAAACCAACATAGTGCGTTTGCGACCAGCATGGATCCAGACCAGCCTGCGCATATAATGTTTGTGATGAATAATAAACCACCAATCTTATACTCTGCGAGAAACATGTAAAATGTTAATGCCTATAACGCCAATGACACCGGCGGTCTCTGTTATGTTCAATCACAACATATTTGTGTACTTTTACTAAAACCGATGAATTATTTTGTCCCGACTGGAAGATGGAGAAGTCAAAATGAAACAGATTTTAAAAAACAGAACGAGACAAAAAATGGTAGCCATGCCAATAAAACTGGTCCCAGAGAATATTTCAAAAGAAATAAGGTTTCTTTCATTCCTTTTTAATAGAATATTTACTTCAGTAATGTGAGTATGAATGCTCATTTCTTTTATACAATATATTTTGATGATAAAATACGATGATTTTTACTATATACTGATAAATGAAATATTGAAAAATATTGATGGAGTAAAATGCATATTTTCATTTTGTGTATTTTCACTGTAAAATATTTTTCATTGCAGTGAAACATATTTTCCGTATTTTCACTGGTTTCTAGCTGGACTACTTTCTTCTATATTCAACTTATACACAAAATTAAAGGAAAGTCTTTCAAACTGTTATGTCAAAAAAGGGAAATGAATATGATAAACAGAAAATTCTAGGGGTTTTTTTGTCTTTAAAAAAAAGCAGGTATTTTCACATTGTAGTATGAAAATTATCATATTTCGCACGTGGCTACCGTTTCTCATGAAATATTTATTTGGTATACAACTTGATTAAAATTAATTCTGTACTTTTAGAAAAAAAACTTGAATACCATCTAGATCTATAGTTTAAACATAGTTTAAATGTCAAACAATAAGTCAGCATGTTGTTAATACATTTACAATAAGTATAGATGCACGAATAAAAAAGGATTAGAGCCGAAAGCTATAAAGCTTATAAACGTCTTTCTCCTATATTTGTACTATACAGTTGAATTATTACAGTATTTGCAATATTGTTTGAAACAATACGGTTAATTTTTAACATATTTGGAACATCATCATTTTTAACATACATGTATTTGGAAAATCATCCATTTATATACTAATTCGACTACTTTTGTTCCAGGTATTTTCATCTGTATTTGTGTCATCATAATTGGGACGAAAAAATCGCATGCGGAGAAAAGGCTGGAAAAGTTGTTCAACAAGATAGATATTGATTACGGGGCATCTTTTTACCTTGCAATAGTTGCACTTCTTCTATCTCTTGTTTCAGGATATTTTTTTTACAAAATTCCTTGTCCTGAAAACAATGTTACATCCAACGTTGATAGCGTACCAGTTTAATACATGTATGTAGTCTACACTTCACTTATATCTGTGCTTTTGTTATATGTGTTAAATAACAAATTGTATACAATGTATTGTCGTATCATAATTTGAGCTTTATGCTTTTTAATCGTCTTGTCTAGTTGACACATTGACGTTCCGCTCACATTGTCACGAAAACGGAAACAGACGAAAGCCACCCCTCCCCCTGTTAAAATGACTCTGCATACGTAAGCATAGAATAATATTTCAAGAATTTACAAATGCGAGTTACAAATGTGAATTACAATAATGCTGTTTATGTCTAGAAAATGAGCATTTGTCTGTAGTTAAATTATTTAAAAAAAAAATTTAAATAACTGGTATGTATATTTTATTGTTATGGGAGGGTTTTTGTTCGCCATATTATTCTTATATGGGGTCTTTTGTTCGCTCCATCATTTTCACATGAATGCTTTTATCCGCCTATCATTTTCACTAAAGGGTTTTTGTCCGCCCTATCATTTTCACCAAAGGGTTTTTTGTCCGCCCTATCATTTTCACGAGAGGGCTTTTGTCCGCTCTGTCACGTTCAAGGAAGGACTTTGTCCGACCTGTCATTTTGTACAGGAGAGCTTTAGACCTACATTGTAAAATATGTGATCCTTTAACCCAAACGTGTCAGTTCTTACAAAAAAACAAGTAAAGATATTTTCAAGATCTTGTCAAAAAGTGTTTATTTTAAAATACATTGGATATACAATATTAAACAGATATTACCATGATTAAGATATTGACACCGATACAATTAGTTTTACATTTTCCCATTTGTTGCGATATCCAGAAAAGATAACTCTTCAAAAGATATTTCATATAGGTAATTGTGTTACTTCCCTTTACTTATTAAAAGGAAAGTAAGATACTTGTTATCATCCATAAAACATAACATCATTGTCACATTTACATTATCAACTATATTCTGTATGATAACAACCTGCACATAGTATATTTTTAAATGTACACATGTACTTTTTTAATGGATATACATGTATAATGTATCTCAACGTAATTACTCTGTACTGAATAAATTTTTTAAACTTTGTTGGTGATCTTGTTCTTTTTTTTAATTAATTTGGATATTCAATGAAAACATGTATCAATAATTCAGCGTAATTCACATGAAGCTAGCACTGTAAATAAACTGACTTACTAACAAACTGCACTTGAACGTTTTAGAATACTTACGGAAAGTGTTAAACAAAACAGGATTTGCTAAATATTGGAAGGCATAATTGCGATCAAGTGATTAACGCATTCTCGTGGCTTATTCGACACCTACAGACATACCATAATTAATCTCCGAATCTCTAGCCGTGTGCAGGTTCAAACCCTGTCAGAGTCAGGCCGTTTTTACCTTAGTAAAAGACTTGATTTGTTGCTTAATCCTGCTGGATCCAATGGAACATATTCAAGTGTGTCTTTAGATTTATAGCTTCTAACTTGAAAGCAAACTATCGCTCATATACATGTATGATTTTAACCCTTTACCTCATATAGACGTGATTTATCCGCGCAGTCTGATCAGGATCCTTGCTGTTCGCTATCAGTTTCTCTACTTGTAATAGGGTTGGTAAGCGAACAGCATAGATCCTGATCAGAATGCGCGGATGCGCAGGCTGGTCTGGATCCATGCTGGTCGCAAACTCATTATGTTGGTTTTGTCGTGAAGCGGCTCATATTATCTAATTATTTATGAGAAGGAATGCAAACACTGGGCAAATGAGGAGTTGAGTGCTACCCTTGCCGCAAAATCTTTTGTACAGTAAAAAAAATAATTTTATGTTTATATTATGGAATATTCAAATTGAAAACAGGAAAAGATCACGACACAAACATATGGCAGAAAGAGAATAATTATAAGAAAAGAACACTACTTTATTTATATTTAATATACTAGTAAAAGTAAAATACATGCATATAATATTCATTAGAAATGTAGCAATAATAAAATAATAAAATAAAAGAATGTGAACGTAATGTTAATGAGATTATAATTGTATGATACGATAATTTCTTCAGCAAAATTAAAGACTTTTGAAAATACAATTTATGCGTTTTCAGTTATTTACGTTGAGATCTAGATTTTTTCACATTCATAAACATTTTGATCTCCTGCTTGCATTTTTTTTTCAATACAGACTTCGTTCGTTTGAATTATTATTGGACGAATTAAAAAAAAAAGATTAAATGACCAAGATATAAAAATGTATTGAATATCATTTAATATTAAGGGAATTTGTTTACAAGTCTATATTTAAAAAAAGCGTGTCGGTAAATAACTTAGGCATATACATACAGACAGCGTTACATGACAGCAATATAATTATCCATGTAGTTAAAAACAGGTCTAACATTTTGCACACCTAATGAAACTAATTGGTAACCAACCATTGCAACTGAATACTCCAGTTACTCCAAAAATATAGATCGTCTGCTTTTAATAAATGAACAACTGTCTCTACATTTGCAATTAAAATATTGACATCTTGAACAGCAAGCACTGTGTCTAACCTCTTATTTTAACAGCATTCTTGAAGTGACGTCATACTATCAGCGTCCTTTCATCCCAAAAACATTATGACAGTTGAAAGCTTAAATGACCTGATTTAATAAGTTTAGATAAAGCTTAGATTTATATAAAATGTTAGGTTCTGTTTAACTTGATGCATCTAAACGTTTCTACCCTTTGCTAAAAAAACAACCATGCCGGACACCCCAGCTGCTATGGCGGCTATTATCGCCAATCCGAAGCCTGCGTGGAGGGATCCATCTCCGTAAAGTACTTTGTATAAGTCGCCAGGATGCTTTGATCCAAAAATGATTACGCCTAGTATCGTAAGCCCAGCTGAAAAGAAAATAGATTCAGTATAAGATATGAAAAAATTACAAATTTCTTAAAATGTCATTCATATTACAAAATGCCAGATAGAACATAATATGCGAGTCCTTATATGAACAGAACGAGCGAGACCTTAAACAAGTACAATGTAGTGATCGTTATATAAAGGGCTCTCGTAGAATCCAAGATGGAGGGCGTAAAAAGGCATGACACAGTGTAAAACCGTTCCTCTATATTTATGACTCGATTTCATACTGACACCAGTACCCACAATGTAACTTATCATATGTCTGGCATGGTTAAGAGTCATCATTGAAAATTCCTGATTGTTTACATTTTCGTATTCTTCAGAAGTGTTCAGTTTTAAATCTTTAGAATGGTTTTTATATGTGTTGCCTTTTAAACGATACATTTCAAATTTTTCAATGGCGTTCATACTTATTCTTGTTTTTTTTTTTTTTGTTTTTTTAAAGACACGTTACAACATAGATGTTTAGGAAAGTTAACTTGTTAATGGCAGGTAAAATTGACCTGAATGAAACAGCCCAACATTTTGCTTTGAACACCGAGTAGTATAGTGAAATAGGAAACAAATATTTACCCCCAGCAAAGCATAACAATGCTGACAATATAGCCAGAAACTGCCTCTCCTTCATAATAAATCCAAACAGAATGGACATCAAGATACTCGCACCGAGTGATAGTATGGCCAAGATCATCATAGCACGTGTTGCGTCCAACCAGTCAGGAGTGTCTAAAATTATTCAAACAAGATTCATACCAAGTTCTAGATTAACATCAGAAATGCGAATGCATATCCATGTGTTCACAGTGCATTAATTAATGAATATTGCAGACAAGGGGAGGTTTCGCATTACTTCATTTAAGACGTTTAACATTAGTATTGTATGTTTTTATTAACCTGTTAATTCCATACTGATTATACTGTCAATGCACAGAATATATTAATATTCGATAAATGTTCGGTAAATTCCGCGAGAGGTACGTAGTAAGATTTGATTAAATTCATATAGTTTCTGTGAATAAGTTGCACTTACCGTTATAGCGCAATACAAGTGTTGTTTTTTTTTCTTAAAATAACTACTTTCAATATTTTTGAAGTTATCGTTGTTCTGTTTTTAATATGTTTTGCACTTTTTTGTAAATACCATACTTATGTATATAACATTGTTTAAGAATTTATACTGAAAATTCATTCGGATTAAAATCTATAAATGTAATTTCAGTGCCGTAAAGCACAATACAAAATGTGACAATTTAGTGTTTCTTAATTGTTTCATATCCGTGTAGACAATTTTGCAAGTGCTTGAGCATTTTATTAAAATACACTTAAAAAACAAAGAAAGAATAAGTCTAAAAAGAATATCAAAAGAAGGGATCGAACCACGGACTTCTCATGCATTACGTAATCACTTAATCGTCTGTGCTGTGCTACTTCCTTTAAGCTAGTGTGAGTTTTCCAAACATTAGTTATATACTCCATATTAATTCTCGTAATATAAACGGACAAAACCGAAGTGGGATCGAATATTTAAATGAGTGCTATAATGTATTCATAATTGACAGGTCAATAAAATCAGACTATACCGGTTTATTTCAAACATTCTCATTCAGTACTTACCACTATACTCCAAACATTTGTTTCCAAGTATCGTTGATCCGCATACACGGAACAGTCCGACATCTACGGCATCGCTGCTCCACCAGTATGGTATAGCAGTCGCAACAATACACAGCAACAATGCACCACCCGTCAGGGCAATTCCCAATAACAACATCTTATTCATGGCGAATCCTGAATATATAGATATCAGATATATCTCAATAATATGTAAATTAAAGTTTCGTTAAATTTTGGCTGTTTATTTAATCATTCATATGACAAAGGTAATCAAAGTTTGACATACAATCCGGTAGCATTTGAAACGGGTTTAATGTTGTCTAACACACACAAACCTATACCTTACATGATTGCATTGTAACAGTTGACAAATATCACTAACCGGAAGTCGGTCGTCTTTTTTCTGTAATTATAGAATTATTTACAAGTTTTATGTTCATTCAGTTCATTCAATTAATAAAAAGTTAAAAATGCATTAATCACGGTTCAGGTTTTATTTATTTTTTTCATTATTATTTGTTCACAAGTTTCAACGTCAAACCCAATCAACAGTGTATCCGATACATTCCAGCATTCGGAATATGTTACAATCCCGTATTATGGAAGCGTTAACTTTTAGTTTAAAAAACCTTTATAAGGTGCCCGAGATTATATTTATATGAAGTTTTTCATTTAGTTCAGAATTACGACAGAGGAAAGGACTTGTGTGTGCATGCGCGTGCGTGATTTTGTTTGTTTGTTTTGTTGCTATTGTTTTTATTATATTATATTATACATTGTATATATAATATATTGTTTTAGGAGTTAGGAGGGTAGGAGTCTTTTATCATTTTTTTGTTCTAAAGACCAAGCTGTATATTCTTTCAAATGGAAGCCTTATCAAACTCCTTCGTCAGCTATTTTAGACATCCCAACTCTTTAACTTGTCATGTAGTTTAAACAGTAAACTCTATAGGGTTTGAACTTATAATACCTGTGTTGTGAGACTGGCATATTAACCATTTAGTAATGCCATACAATGTTGGCGAAAGACAACATTCTACCGGAGAACAGCAGCCAGATCGTTTTCCTCACAAATAATCTCGGGAAGCAATGCTCTCATAGAAATAATTATAATAGTTAAAATATAATGTCTTATCAGCCGTATGCGCCAATTCACTTCTTTTAACTTGATAAACATACACTTTAAAGGCACATTATGCCTCAGAAATGAATAAATATTTACTTCTTTAAAAGGTCAAACATTAAATAATAGTTTTAAAGCACGTTAGATACTTGCTTCCTGAATAAAATTGCGCTAAATGTAAAACGATATGTCACAAATGCTGCAAAATATAAACAAAACAATTGTTTTGACTTCCATATAAAATACTAAATCATTTTAAATGTACTAATTTCCAAAAAGTAACAGACAAAGAAAACAGTTCAGATAAATGGTCAATGAATAATTTGTTAGGAAATTTCAAAGGAAAGGAGACCCCCAAAAAAAGATTCTGAGAAATAAAATTGAAAGCACTTGTGGGGCATAATGGGCAGTTTAGCGGTCGGTAGGTAATTGACTTGACCGCTTTTAACAAAAGAGCCGGTAGGGAACAACAGTTTTTTACTGTCGCATATTCGTATGATATAATTGCCCTGCAGATAATAGTTCACATTAGTGAGTTATAATGACCTGTAATAATTTCACATTGGTGAGTCATAATGTTCCGTTATAATTTCACATTGGTGGGTCATAATGTTCCGTTATAATTTCTCATTGGTGGGTCATAATGTCCCATTATAATTTCACATTGGTGGATCATAATGTCCCATTATAATTTCACATTGGTGGGTCATAATGTCCCATTATAATTTCACATTGGTGAGTCATAATGATCCGTTATAATTTCAAATTGGTAGGTCATAATGTTTCGTTATAATTTCACATTGGTGACTCATAATGTTCCGTAATAATTTCAGATCGATGAGTCATAATGTCCGGTTTAATTTCACATTGGTGAGTCATAATGCTCCCTTATCATTTAACATTGGTGAGTCGCAATGTCCTGTTATAATTTCACATTGGTGAATCATAATATTCCGTTATAATTCTATATTGGTCAGTCATAATGTCCCGTTGAAATTTTGCATTGATTAGTCAAAATGTTCTGTATACTTACAATTACACATTGGTGAGTTATAATTCCCCGTGGTGAGTGGTAAGTCATAATGTCCTCTTATATTTTCGAACCGGTAAATTATAAGATCATGTCATAATTTCAAATTTATGAGTCATTATTCCTTATATAATTTCATATTGGTAAATCATATTGCCCCGATATAATTTCATATTTATGAGTTATAATTTTCCGCTATAATTTCACATTGGTGAGTCATAATGTTCCGTTATAATTTCACATTGGTGGGTCATTATGTTCTGTTATAATTTCACATTGGCGAGTCATAATGTTCCGCTATAATTTCACATTGGTGAGTCATAATGTTCCGTTATAATTTCACATTGGCGAGTCGTAATGTCCCGTTATAATTTCACATTGGTGAGTCATTATGTTCTGTTATATTTTCACATTGGCGAGTCATAATGTTCCGCTATAATTTCACATTGGTGAGTCATAATGTTCCGTTATAATTTCATATTGGTGAGTCATAATGTACCGTTATAATTTCACATTGGTGAGTCATAATGTACCGTTATAATTTCACATTGGTGAGTCATAATGTCCCGTTATAATTTCACATTGGTGAGTCATAATGTTCCGTTATAATTTCACATTGGTGAGTCATAATGTTCCGTTATAATTTCACATTGGTGAGTCATAATGTTCCGTTATAATTTCACATTGGTGAGTCATAATGTCCCGTTATAATTTCACATTGGTGAGTCATAATGTTCCGTTATAATTTCACATTGGTGAGTCATAATGTTCCGTTATAATTTCACATTGGTGAGTCATAATGTTCTGTTATAATTTCACATTTATGAGTCATAATTCCTTATATCATTTCACATTGGTAAGTCATAATGTCCCGATATAATTTCATATTTATGAGTCATTATGTTGCGTTATAATTTCACATGGGTGAGCTATAACTTCACATTGGCGAGTCATAATATATACAGTGTCAAAATATTCTGTGGTAATGCCCCACTATAAATGTCATAATTTCAATACGGGAGTAATATAATCCTGATAGAAAGGGATAATATCACGTTGACATTTTACTTACGGGAGTCAGAACTAACATAATTAACATTAACATTATTCAAGCTTGACTTCGATATAAGTATGACAGTTATTTAAGCCGTTGTCTGCTCCTTGTGCCGTAATGACAGTAGGCAGACCCATTTGTTGAAAGGCACACACCTCAATCATTAAACCATTATTTTCCTCTACAAAATATGTGAGCACTGCCGTTGTCGTTGTTGTTTTAGGCAAAGTGGAAAAAAACTTAGATGTAGCCCATTTCAAAAGGTATCATTTTAAAACATATGCAGATAATAAAGTGCAATATTACCATATCGCTATAACAATCTTGAATTGATATTTTTCGTTGTTGCATCGCAAACGGTGCTGTTGTTTTAAAACTTCAACAAGAAAGGTTAGATACATAATAATTAAATGTTTATTTTCAAGCAGTAATGGTTATGTTGACTTGTTTCTATTATGCTAATTTTCAGCTGCCAGTCATTAATTTCTAGTATAATTAACTTATCAAAGTCCGTCATGTCCTGAACCAAAACTATCATCAGTTTCCGCGAGCACCACTCACATGTACACGCAACTAATTACAACCAATACAGCATGTAACAATAACTTATGTATACAATTTATATTAATTTTGCAAAGCAGTATAAAAATTGTTTCACGAACTAACAACCAGAAAATGTTAAGCCAGAAAGCAAATTCGTTGGGCGAATGAATCAAATCACGTTATCGGAGCTTCATGGTTGTTAGTACCTCAGAGATTCAAAAATAGCGGTGCTGTTGCTATACACTATATCGCATTTTAATAACATTCAAAAGTGAAATAGTTTATTAAGTTTAATGTTAATTTCGATTCCGTGACGGACAATTTCGTGACAGAAGGACGGACAAACAGCCGGAAGGAGAACCTTTATCTATTTCTTTGACGGGGAATAAAGATAAGGGTTAATTCCTTCTTTATACAAAAAAACTTCTCTTCATCGACCCATGTAGCTAGAGCGCGTTATTTTTTGTAATCAGTTTAATGCGTTAATTAAGGCGTTTTGAATGAAATTGTGTGCTAAAGTTACTTATTTATCATACACTTGCTCATTTACGCTTATTTTTACATTTACATCTTACATATCTTTGTTTAAACGCCGAAACATACGGCTTACGTTCAACGTGAAAAAATCAAGGTCGCTAGTTTAAGTGATACATAGAATGCGGTCGTTCGTCATCAATAACTGTATTTCATTACCTTTGACAGCGGTATTTCACATCAAATTGTTTTGATAGTCAACTGTGTCGGTTTTTATGTTATTTATGTTTGCTACAACACGCGCCAATAAATTTGCCTTGTGTTGTTGCGGAGTAGGTTTTACTCACTGTTTAACTATCTAGCCCATATAGAACACAAAAATTGGGCGTGACCTAAACACAACATACAGTTTGAAAACCCCTCGATCATGATAGTAAGATTAGTTTAATGTTATTGTTTTAATCAGATATTAAAAGCTTTTTAGTCTTTCATACTTACCCGATAAGTAATAAAAGAACACATTGTATAAGGTGGTTGGTTCTTGTAAGTTTGTATATCTAATAACATTAATGTGCAATTCAAAACAAAATATTCAGAATACCTCACAAGTGAGATATTTGCCTGTGTTAAACTGGAAGTACAATTGGTATCCAAAGAAAAACATTTACAAATTTTAAACAACCCATATCTTCGCAATCGCGAGTTTGTTGTGAAAATTTTGCACTAGAACAAATTTATGGTGAAACTTTACTTTTTTTTTTTCAAAAAAAAATGAAAGTCAATTGTTTCTTGAAATTTCTATACGTAAATGGTCCTTAATGTGGACAGTGATGAAATAACGTAAAAATAATAAACTAACTATCAAAATGTATTTTCTTGTTCAACTGTTGATACTTCTCTCATTCAAAACATTTTTCTCTTTAATTGAGATGACAATAACTATTAACAAAATCCGTTTGAGCCGCGTCATGACAAAACCAACATAATGAATTTGCGACCAGCATGGATCCAGACCAGCCTGCGCATCCGCGCAGTCTGATCAGGATTCATGCTGTTCGCTTACCAACCCTATTACAAGTAGAGAAACTGATAGCGAACAGCTTGGATCCTGATCAGACTGCGTTGATGCGCAGGCTGGTCTGCATCCATGCTGGTCGCAAACCCATTATGTTGGTTTCGTCGTGACGCGGCTCATTTTAAGTAGGTCGAAATAAAATTTACCGTCGACCTCATTTTTTGACACTTATTTCGCGTTAATGGTTTTTACTTTCATTTTTTATTTTTTTTTATATGTAAAGTTACGAATGTTGAAGCTCTAGTTAAAAAACTTACATTACATTGTACCACAATGTCAATTATTTACCATAAATAAGAACATGTGCAAATGAGAATTGCTTCAGACACAATTTAACTGGACTATCAAGACTTCTTTTACAGTGTAAAATGTTGTCCTGTTTCACCAAAACATCTACATATTTAAAATATTTTGCCTGAAACTGTTGTTAAGGTGTGTTACTAAAATAGGTCAATTTTGACCAATGTAAACACCGGTCGCATGTAAGTATGTTCTGTTGTTCATTACCGCGACATTAGTGATGACACATATTTAATTATGTTTTATATACACCACAATGTGCAAAAATATTGAAACCATTTTATTGCAGTTGTTTATAACTTATTTAATTTGATTTGATTAAAAATTAAATTCACAAAGCATGTTTTGTAAAAAAAATTTAAGCAAGTTTCTTTCTATGAATTAAGTTTGCTATGAAAGATAATTCAGTTATTTCTAAAGCATGTTTTTAAAAAAAAAAAGAAATGCTTGCAAATGAAAATATAAAAAAACACTTGTTCAGCCACTTTAGCAGTTGCTCTCACATTCAGTCTATTGTTAAGTCAAACATAAAAATAGTAAAAAGTTAGAAAAATAGTAAATTAAACAATAAAGAGACTTACCGTAGTATTACCACTTTAATTTTAGTTAAAAAAAATAAGCCAATGTGGACTTTCTGTGCAAATACTGAATTAACAATCCTCCGCGAAATTAACGAAGGGCGTAAGAAAATATCGTGTGTCAAGACAGTGTCACTGAACCGTGACCGTCGCCCACATGAATATAGGTTAAAAATGTTAGATATGTTCTTAAAAACACAATGAATGATTTCATTCACGATATAATTGTTCGCATAGCTAGAATGAAAACTACATTGCTTTGTTGTTTTTGTTGCAACTGATGTTTCACAAAGATTGCTATCTATCGACCTAAAAGGTAAAAATAGTGCGTGCAACCACCAGTACACACTACAACACGTCGTAAAGTCGAGAAACGAGACAACAGTTCGATACGAGGAGAGTTGTAATACGGGAGCCTGTAGAAATGTTGTCCATATTGCATAATTCTATTATATTTTGGTAACAGGTAACACAATCTTCGTCTTAAGGATCGTGAAAACGTTTTGCTGCCGCTGTTAAAGAGCTTTATTTATATAATAATTTGGATTAAAAATGACAACAGTTTTCGATATGAGTTGAGGCATTAGACACTATATAATATGTTTTTCAGTCTACAGCAATTCTCCATTTACTATTACATTTCGTCACTTACTAGTACATGTATTAGTTACGAAACATGGCGTCTTGGGTTTGTTTGTGTGCTTTTTTGCAATGATAAAAGCTATCTAAGTTGATTTCTTTTTCATTTCTTTACTTTTCTTTTCTTTTTTTTTTCTCTTTTATAGAACTACATATATGTACTTCCATGCAATGACTTATAGAAAATTGGTACATTTAAAACAAAAGTGAAATTAAAACAAAAATAAAAAACTGTATATCGTTGCTCTAGCTTTTATACTGCATAGATACAATAATAAATAATAAATAATAATGTAAATGATTCCCACGTGACGAAAACTAACAGTTTCAGTACTTTGACTCTAATTGCATATTCAAACAAGTTGAAAAAAAAAATCGCTTTACCATTTGGATTATTATAATTGTGTGTTTTTTGAAAGAACAAACCGACATCTGAGTAAAAAGCTTGCTTTGCGATCACTATAGGGCAAACATGTATATTTGTGATACAATGAGGTAACTATACGTTGTCGAGTGTAATACCAAAATCTATTGGATGTCGGGTGTATTGGATGATTACATGGTAGACAAACCTATATTGGACGAGGCGCTAGCCTAGTCTTGTAAAGGTTTTACAGCTGTGTGCGAGTCCAGTAGAAACAAAATTGTTCTCAACAATATATGAGCCGCGTCGCGACAAAACCAACATAGTGGGTTTGCGACCAGCATGTATCCAGACAAGCCTGCGCATCCGCGCAGTCTGATCAGGATCCATGCTATTCGCAGTCAGTTTCTCCACTTGTAATAGAGTTGATAAGCGAACAGCATGGATCCTGATCAGACTGCGCGGATGCGTAGGCTGGTCTGGATCCATACTGGTCGCAAACCAATTATGTTGGTTTTGTCATGACGCGGCTCATATAAAGCTTTTGAAAAATAATATTAATAAAAATAGGACTGCTGTGACATTATGGGCTTTTACAGCAGCACGCCTCCAGATTCATGTTAATTTTCATGATTTTTTAAAAGAATTATTTAAAGGTAAAATATTGTAAGATGAACAAATTAATCGATTCAAATATTTGCAATCGGCACATACAATTCAAGAAAATTACCAAAAAGTGGTCACAATATGTAAAAATAGCCTTTACTGCGTTAGTAACGCAGTAGAAATATGGTGATAAAATACTGCAAAAGCATTCTTAAACCGCACATAACATGTAAAATATCACTTTGATCTTTTATATTTTTACCTTCCTTAAAATGTAAGTACATTTTTCTCAATATTAATTTTCTTGAGATATTTTGGCTCATCTGAAGGCGTGTAGCTTCAAAGTAAAAATCACCCTTTTTCCATGGGATGGTCCGTAATTGCTATTAACTTGAGCATAAACTATGTGTGGTTTTATATATGTTTTTTGTAAATGTAATTATAAAATAAGTACATGTATAAAAATATATTCAAAATACTCATCTATCTTTTTTGTTCAAACACACGTCTATCAAAATTCTAAACTATTATAAAAAATACGACATCAAACATGATAGATGATTTATTCCGCAAATGATCCATTTGACAGATCATATGAGCCGCGTCACGACAAAAACAACATAGTGTGATTGCGACCAGCATGGATCCAGACCAGCCTGCGCATCCACGCAGTCTGATCAGGCTATCAGTTTCTCTTCTTGTAAAAGAGTTGGTAAGCGAACAGCATGGATTCTGATCAGACTGCGCGAATGCGCAGGCTGGTCTGGATCCATGCTGGTCGCAAACCCACTATGTTGGTTTTGTCGTAATGCGGCTCATACGTTGATGAGATTTTTTTTTAAAGTTCAGGATGGATGTGTACTAAATCCAAACTTAATCCAGACAGTTTACTTTAAAAGCTTATTATGTAAATGATAGCAAAATAGGCGATTTTAATGACACTGTGCAAAATGATCCCCGGGATATGCATGAAATGCGAAAAGCAAATATTAGCTAGATGAGCTAATATTGATAAAACATTTTAATTTTCATGGTAGTAGAAAATATTTGTAGCAGTTATATGCATGGATAACTTTTTAAAATGTCAAACCCAGATGTGTATATATGAAAATGAATACTATTTCACCATCTGGACCATGTTTAGTTTGTCAATATTTATGACACACTGTTGAAAATTTATCTTAACTGTTTGGACAAATAACAGAAAGGTGGGGGTAGTGGTGTTGAGATGTGTGTGGGAGCGTGACTCCGTATTTACTATTTAAAAACAACAGACAATAATACTACTAATCAATGCGTACGTGTTTTGACAGTTTATTCGGTGTTCAGGAACACGAAACTGCTGATATTGTGCAAATTACACGAGACTTTCAGATTGTCGAGTATGAGAGGCAAAAATAAAAACACGTTCCCTGTCTTCACAATATGAAACTCCAGACAAAAATATAACCAATCGACGAGCATGTGAATAAAGACCATTACACAGTTCTATGCATCAACGACACGTGCAATACGGGAGATGGTATAGTCAAAATATTTTAACATTCTGAGATATGTTTGTACTGGGTCAAGATTTCGCTTACTACTATGACTACTACTAATAATAATGTCCATGTACAAAAAAGCACACTATTTCAATGCATGGTACATGGTACAGGATCCATGCTGTTCGCTCACAAACCCTATAACAAGTAGAGAAACTGTTAGCGAACAGCATGGATCCTGATCAGACTGCACGGATGCGCAGGCTGGTCTGGATCCATGCTGGTCGCAAACCCATTATGTTGGTTTTGTCGTGATGCGGCTCATACACTGTGTTGGTGCGGTGTAAACCAAAACAACAAGAATTAAAATTTATTATTGATTAGAAATAAGCTATGTAAGATGTCCGGTATCAAATGCTAAACCATTCGCATATTCAATAAAACTGTGGTCGACGCATTGAACTGTTGTCTGGTCTTTCGATTGTATGCTATATGTACACATAATCAAAATGCAACAGCTGTCGCCATCACATGTGTTTCGTTTGATTTCTAGAAAGTGTGCAAACTGTGCACCCGAGTTTTCTACATGTAGTTTCACTTTTTTATTTTTTAGCTCTTGTGGAGTGCCCCCTTTTCTAGAATTTTTACTTTTTACTTGAAAAATTCTGCATGGCAAAGTGGTTCCATTTTTTATGGCAAATTAGAATTTAATCAAATGATTTTTCTTAATGTAAAAAGTAGACAAAATCGTAGTTTGGCCTGGCTATATGGCTATATATTTGGTTCTATGGCCAAAACAAATATTTGCTAAATTAATTATTAGCAAGGTTTTGTCATTTATAGTACAAAATATGTCATAATTTACTTCTCTTTGCATTCATTACGGGCTTAGGCTATTGTACATGTTAGAGATTTTGCTACCATTCACTTCGACTATACGTATATTATTTTAAATGTACAGTTGTATACAATAACATACTTAATTATCAAATACAGTCATTCTAGACCTATCTAATAGCTTTTAAATTAGCCTAGGATGTGTGTATATATATATTGTGCACAGCTGAGTGACCTCCAGCAACAGTATGCTGATGAATCAACACCACATAATAAATTGTTTCTCTTAACAACAATACATCCGTTACATTAATTGATTTTGTTTACAACGTTTAATACATTGTAAGGCATTAACTGTATCAAAATTGAACGTTATTTCGATCACCAATAAGGTCTAAACTTTGAGGTGCGTAGCTAGACTAGAATTGATGGTATTAATTATCACGCCGGGAGGTTGTAACTGGGTCGTGAAACGTCGTTTAGTGATATTTTTTTATTTTGTTTCTTTTTTAAGGTAATGTTACATGGCAGAAATGATTAATTCTGGGAAAGGAGTGAACGTAACATATTTAAACATATTTTTCAAGCTCAAACAAGTTCTTACAACTTATATTAATCACTTTCGAGTCCGCTTCCTGGAACCAACCAGTACTTGTGTCATATGAAGAAACATGGTCGTGACCCGAGTAGGGCTCGAACTCATGATCTCTTGGTTGAGAGGCAGACACCTTAACCACTAGGTCACCGCTCCTTTTTGGGAGGACTTGGTCCTTGTTTGATCTTTCTTGTAATTTTTCAGTCACAGGTCAACTTACAGACAGAGCAATACCATTCACCATTCCATTGATAATTTGATGAGAAGTACTTCAGAATTAGCTTTAAATAATGTATAAATTAAAGTCAAAGATGAGCTCTCTCGATCATTAATGATGGTAACCCTTTCAATTTCCTGGAACCGAAATTGACTATACTAGCCTTTGCAACCAGTTTACTGACAGATCAGCCGCCACATCTCTGTAGTCTGACAGTAGATTGGCCAACTCCAATTTTTCATCTTGATATTCCGAAAATTGATAATAAATAGTTCCAACAATGGAAACTAGATAGGTTTCTTTAAGATATTCAGTAGGTTAAGTGTTAAATTGCCCCCATGTTGGAAATGTAACTGGCCATTCAACTCAATCCATTGATATCCGTGCACTACAATTACAAGGGATTTTCTGATGCGGCACTAGTTGACATTTCTATAATTGTAATATCACTGCTATATTCAAGTCTTTAAACGGTTCATAGGTCAATCAAGACATCATTGGACTGTTAATTAATATTTCATATGATATGATATCACATTTGTTTTGTAATTCTAGCTCATCTCCGTCTGTGTCATACACTGAAAATTAAAAGGTCCATTTATATAAGGACATTGTTCTCCTGTTGCCTCCACGTGTTGTCATAGGAACATCATATATAGAGATATATTTCTTTGAAATCATGAAATATCAAAAATATATTTTGATATGCTGTATGTCACTATATATAATATATCAAAAGTAACCAGTTGTCAATAATGAAATTAAATGAATAAGACTTGAAAAATAAATCCTAAAATTGTGTATCTGAAACATTTTCCATACTCAAAAACGCACATCACGCATCATTAAAATGGTAGATTTGGTGTTAATACTTTTCATCAATTATATTTCTGCATGAATTCATCAACATAAAGCTGTGCGCGCAATTGATATTTCATGTTTTGCGTCATGTTTTCATATTTTAAAGGCGGATTCTTAAACTTCTTGATCACCGAGTTATATTAACTTATCAATGTGTAATATTAAGAGACTTGTGACCTACAATGTTATCAAATTAGTGTGTTCGATACATATTTATTTGCAGTCCCTTCCTATATTGTACGGAATGCCGTTAGGGCCATTGCCTATGAATGTGTTGATATGAAACGCAATAGTCGATAGTACGATGGTGAAAACGCGAAATCACGAAACTACGATGGTGAAAACGCGAAAGCACGATGATGAAAACGCGAAAGTACGATGATGAAAACGCGACAGTACGATACTACGATGATGAAAACGCGATAAACTATCGTGTTTTCACCATCGTACTGTCGCGTTTTCACCATCGTATTTTCGTGATTTCGCGTTTTCATCATCGTACTGTCGTGTTTTCATCATCGTACTATCGCGTTTTCACCATCGTACTATCGCGTTTTCACCATCGTACTATCGCGTTTTCATCATCGTACTGTCGTGTTTTCATCATCGTAGTATCGCGTTTTCACCATCGTACTGTCGTGTTTTCATCATCGTACTATCGCGTTTTCATCATCGTACTATCGCGTTTTCATCATCGTACTATCGCGTTTTCACCATCGTAGTTTCGTGATTTCGTGTTTTCACCATCGTACTATCGACTATCGCGTTTCAGATTAACACATTCATAGGCGATGGCCCTAACGGCATTCCGGAATGCCGTTAAGGCCATCGCCTATGAATGGTTTAATCTGAAACGCGATACTCGACAGTGCGATGATGAAAACGCGAAATCACGAAACTACGATGGTGAAAACGCGACAGTGCGATGGTGAAAACACGATAGTTTATCGCGTTTTCATCATCGTAGTATCGTACTGTCGCGTTTTCATCATCGTACTATCGCGTTTTCATCATCGTGCTTTGGCGTTTTCACCATCGTAGTTTCGTGATTTCGCGTTTTCACCATCGTACTATCGACTATCGCGTTTTAGATCAACACATTCATAGGCGATGGCCCTAACGGCATTCCGTAATATTGGCGACTAACTCCGGTTGGCTCTGTATAGTTATAGTTTTATTTTACATTGTACATGTATTTTATTTTAAGTTATTTGGTTGGTTGAAATATAGTTTTAGTTTTATTTTTACACTATATTCTATTTTACTTTATTTAATTTTAGTTTTTTGGTTGGTTAATTCATATATAGATTCTAGTTTCAGCTTTATTTTACACACTTTATTTTATTTTACTTTTGTACTTTATTTTATTTAAGTTAGCTGTTTGGTTGGTTCGTTTGTTCGTTCGTCTGTTCTTCGTTCGTTCATTATTCAGTCAGTCGGTCGGTCGGTCGGTCGATCAGTCGGTCAGTCGGTCGGTCGGTCGGTCAGTCAGTCAGTCAGTCATCTAGTTTTGTCAAAGGATGAAATTTATTCCTTAAAATTTGGTTTTGGACCGAAAAAGGACCTCTTTTTTTTACATAAAAACTCAAATTGCCCTTTTGCTCATAATTAAGCCCGATTAAAATTTTTTCACGTTTTTGCGAAATTTGGGCGTAACTAATTAATAGATGGTCCACCCAACAACAAAAAAAACAACACAAAAACTTTTAAACAAGACCTCTAAAAGGTTGAACTTACCTTGACCTTGAGGTTTAAATGATCTTAAGCGTCAAGGTCAAATTATTGATCTTTGGTTAAATAATCATAGTTTTGTTATTTATTTACGGATTTGATTAAAACTTGTACAAAATAAGACTTGCTACCAAATATACATATTTAATTATTGAGATGTGACTTGACCTTTAATTGATATTGATCGTCATGGTCAAATTAAGGAAATTCTCTTGTTTGTTTTCATGTAATTGGCTATAATTTTATTTATAAATGGATTACCTTCATATTTAGACACAACATATTTTAGGACAGGATGTTTATGTATATCAAACTCAAATTTACCTCGACTCATCTATGACGTTCACCTTGAATGTCAAATTATTGAATTTTAACTGAATTTTTGCTGTACTTAATTGACTTTAATTTGGAAACCGATATTATAAAACGGATTATCGTCATACTTGGACAAAACAACAACAACAACAACAACAGAACAACCTTTTGGTTAAGACCTTCTAACAGGTTGAACTGACCTTGACATTGAGCTTTAAATGACCTTGTCTGTCAAGGTCAAATTACTGAATATTTTGTTCAGTTGTCCTAATTTTGTAATGTATGTACGGCTGTGATTCATAAGTGGAAACAAAACAACAATTGCGACCAAACAGAATGATTAATAATTTAGACCTTTGCTGTCTTTGTCAGATGATTGAATTTTGCTTATATTTTCTTAACTTTGTCATTTACCTATGGAAATGATTCAAACTTGAATAAAACAACAAAAGTGACAAAACAGCTAGGCCTATTGAAATAAAAAATTGAAAAAAAAGGAATCCCTGATTTATTCATTTTTCGAATTCATTTTTCTTTTCAAATATTGAATTAAATCCTCGGCAGGACCAGCTTACGTTTACCACGTTTTACTTTTTATATCTTTTTAACCTTGAAAGACGGAGATCGTCAATTAGCATTTCACACGGAATAATACGGTCATAACGGGAATGAAACCAGAAATACTCTTCTTTTTGGAGGTTTAAAGATGGCTGCCCTTGCGAGATTGTTTTCGGCAAATCGGGCAGGTAAATGTCTCTGGATTGAACTATTTCTTGGTTGACTTGGAGCCTGCGCTATTTAAATGATGTGTATGATATCACTTAAGAGCCTGCGATATGTTTTCTTATCTTCATGGCTCTTGGATATGCAAAATCTTTATGACATTGTGCGGCCTTGACAGAAATTTGATAAAATAAATTTAGTTTTCTTAGACTTATTTTCAGTTCTAAATTTTATGATGTTTAAGAATACTGTTATGGTTGAATCAAACCGTAATTAATGAAATGACAAATGTGAATAACTCATTTGAGAATTGATTTTAAAACATTGTTGACAGTCCAACAAATTATGACTTACATAATGTATTAATGATAATTTGTTTCCAGATTTTTTTTACATAATAGGGCTTGATCAAGTCAGGCTTGACTTACATAAAGTAAAAAATATGAAAGAAGGCAAAGCCTGTGAAATGGGAAGTCGGTTAATTTTTCATTTTTCCGTAATATGAAAAAGGCAAAGCCTCAAAGCGAGCTCGAAGTACTTTCAATGTGAAATAGTATGAAATAACCGCTCATTTTTATTTCAAATGCAGTGACAAGTGCGTGTTACGTCCAAATACTGTGTTAAATATGGCTCCGCCCCTGTCGTTAAATGAATAACGAGTTTTGAAAACAAACGTTGATAAAACTTTGTTTGTTTATTTTATTTCACTCTATAATTTTTCAAGCGAAATTAATAAAGATTAATATGAAATTAGGCAAAGCCTATGAACGGGGAAGTCTTTAAAAAAATCCTTTCATTCTTTCCGTTTTAAAGGTGTCATTCGGTATTACATGCACCGCTTCCGTTTTCACTCGGAACACTCGACGTTTATTATTTATCCGAAAAGTTGAGATTAGTTTCCGTTATCGGAATACCCCCGCCTATTATCATTAGTTTACATTTGTAAATGGCGGCGCCCGACTAGAACTGACACTGAAAATTTCATTGATAGGTATAGAATTTCTATTTATTTTTAATTGTTTTTTATTTGATTTTCTTTTAAATATACACGTGTAGTCTATAGCCGGTCAAGCCAAAACCCGAACCCGCTTCGCAGGCCCGGTCTTTGACTTCCCCGTATTAAAAGTGAAATAAATGTTAAACTTAACACGTTTGCGACATTAAAATAGCGTACTTGATTTGATTGTTTTGCACGTGCTGTTTGGCGCTACATTGTGATGTCACATAAACAATACTTTAAACGTCTGTACAGCGTTAACGACTGAATAAAAGATATTGGTGTTCGAGGATTCATTTTCTTAGTTAGACGATTTTCTTTCATTCTAGATAGTTTTCACAACAAAATTCGACAAAAAATTGTTTTTTATTTATCAGATTTTCAAACAAAATGGCGCCTTCAATGTGAAAATACACGGGGAGATAATAAGAACGTCGTGTGCATTGTCGTTGAAATTTCCGATAGTGTTAGAATGTTTTGTTTCTTCAAAAAGAGGAGGTAAATGTACATTTAATGAAATCCGGCAAAACCTATGTACGGGAAAAGTCGGTTAAAATAATCGTTCAATTTTTATTTTACATTTTCCGTTTTAAAACTGTCATTCGATATTTTATACACAGCTTCCGTTATTCTGGTTCCCTGTCCAATTATGGTTCCCATAGACGTGCGCGGGTGACCAGTCTACACATCCGTTTTCAGTCAGAATTCCTCAGTTTTTATCGTTATCTTTAAATTCGAAAAGTTGCGATGAATCCAATTCGGTACATCGGACGAAAGTTTTCAAAACCATCACTTAGCAGGTACTCGCGTTACCGTAAAGCTCGCTTTGCGAGCAGGCCCTTCGGGCCAGCTCGTCGAGCTCGCTATTAAAGGTGTCATTCAGTAATCCGTGCACAGCTTTTGTTTTAACTCGGAACACTGGACAATTAATAATATGAAAAAGGCAGAGCCTGAAAGCGAGCTCGATTTACTTTTACCGTAAAAAAAGCATAAAATAATCGTTCATTTTTATTTTACATTTTCCGATTTAAAATTGTCATTCCGTATTTTATACACTGCTTCTGTTTATTCTGGTTCCCTGTCCTATTATGGTTCCCAAATAAGTGCGCAGGACACCAGTCTACGCTTCCATTTTCAATCAGAATACTTCGGCTTTTATCGTTATCTTGTAATTCGAAAAGTTGCGATGTGTCAATTCAGTACTTCAGACGAAAGTTTTCAAAAACATCAATATCTAGCAGGTACTCGTGTTACCGTAAAGCTGGCTTTGCGAGCAGGCCCTTCGAGCCAGCTCTTCGAGCTCACTATGAAATTAGGTGCTACCTATGGCGCGGAAAGCTTTTATGATTTAAGCATATTAACAATTTAGTGTACATGTAAACCAGATCTTTCTTGCACTTTGTTAATAAGTAAATGCAGGTATTTTGTACCGTAAACAGAAACAAATAAATTGGTGGTGTTCAACCTATCATCGCAGAACATAAAGGGGGGGTGCACTGGGCATGCATCAGCGTTTGGAAAATCCCATGCGCCTTTTTTGGTAATCTCTAATCAGTAATCACATTTGTTGTTTTTACGTTATTTTGTAATGTGCTAATTCATCAAAAAGGGTGTAAAAGTAACTTTTTATATTTATCATCATTGTTCTTATCAATGAAATGCATTGTTTATTTTCTGATTTTGTACATTATTTTAATTTTTCACCAGAAGTGTCATTTGGCAAGCGTCTTCTAGCAATAGTCTGAATGATGTAGACGCTTAAAAGCAACCTGGTATCTATATTTAGCTCTAAAGGATTTCAAAAATGGTGGCGCCCAACTTAAGATTTTCCTCTAACTCTGCATATATTTTTTATTGATTTTTATGTTATTTCAGTTTGACTTATTCGCGTCATGGTCATGTTATGGAAGAGCGCTACTGTCCTTGCGGGGCCTGTGACCCCGCTCGGGCTTTCCGTATATTAATATGAAAAAGGCAAAGCCTCAAAGCAAGCTCGATTAACTTTTACCGTAAAATAGTATAAAATAATCATTCATTTTTTTATACATTTTCTGTTTTAAAAAAGTTGTTTGGTATTTTATACACTGCTTTTGTTTCTTCTGGTTCTCTGTCCTATTATGGTTCCTATAAAAGTGCGCAGGACACCAGTCTATGCAACTGTTTTCAATCAGAATACCTCGGCTTTTATTGTTATCTTGTAATTCCAAAAGTTTAGATATGTCAATTCAGTACTTCATACTTCAAAACCATCACTATCTAGCAGGTACTCGCGGTACCGTAAAGGTAGCTTTGCAAGCTCGCTATTAATCCTAAAAATTAACCATGGTCCCGTTATCAGAATACCGTGCCTATTATTATTGAGTTACACTGAAAATGGTAGCACCCAACTAGAACTGACATTGAAAATTTTATTGATAGGTATAGAATTCTATTTATTCTTTGTTTTTTAGCTCACCTGTCACAAAGTGACAGGGTGAGCTTTTGTTATCGCTTTTCGTCCGGCGTCCGTCCGTCCTTAAACTTTTACTTTAAATGACATCTCCTCATAAACCGCTAAGCCAATTTCATCCAAACTTCACAGGAATGTTCCTTTGGTGGTAAACTTTAAAAATTGTTCAAAGAATTTAATTCCATGCAAGCCTCTGGTTGCCATGGCAACCAAAAGAAAAAACTTAAAAAGCCTTCTTTTAAAAAACCATATGAGCTAGAGCTTAGATATTTGGCATGAAACATCTTCTAGTGAGTGTCTACCAAGTTTGTTCAAATAAAAGCCCTGGGGTCAAAATTGGCCCAGCACCGGGGGGTCATTGATTTTCATCATATGCATATAGTAAAAACTTAAAAAATCTTCTTTTAAAGAACTCAAAGAGCTATGGCTAAGATATTGAGCATCAAACATGTTCTAATAGGTGTCTACCAAGTTTGTTCAAATAAAAGCCCTGGGGTCAAAATTGGCCCCGCCCCAGGGGGTCATTGATTTTCCCTATGTGCATATAGTAAAAACTTAAAAAATCTTCTTTTAAAGAACCAAAAGAGCTAGAGCTAAGATATTTAGCATGAAACATGTTCTAATGGGTGTCTACCAAGTTTGTTCAAATAAAAGCCCTGGGGTCAAAATTGGCCCAGCACCGGGGGGTCATTGATTTTCCCCATATGCATATAGTAAAAACTTAAAAAATCTTCTTTTAAAGAACTCAAAGAGCTATGGCTAAGATATTGAGCATCAAACATGTTCTAATAGGTGTCTACCAAGTTTGTTCAAATAAAAGCCCTGGGGTCAAAATTGGCCCCGCCCCAGAGGGTCATTGATTTTCCCTATGTGCATATAGTAAAAACTTAAAAAATCTTCTTTTAAAGAACCAAAAGAGTTAGAGCTAAGATATTTAGCATGAAACATGTTCTAATAGGTGTCTACCAAGTTTGTTCAAATAAAAGCCCTGGGGTCAAAATTGGCCCAGCACCGGGGGGTCATTGATTTTCCCCATATGCATATAGTAAAAACTTAAAAAATCTTCTTTTAAAGAACTCAAAGAGCTATGGCTAAGATATTGAGCATCAAACATGTTCTAATAGGTGTCTACCAAGTTTGTTCAAATAAAAGCCCTTGGGTCAAAATTGGCCCCGCCCCAGGGGGTCATTGATTTTCCCTATGTGCATATAGTAAAAACTTAAAAAATCTTCTTTTAAAGAATCAAAAGAGTTAGAGCTAAGATATTTAGCATGAAAACATGTTCTAATAGGTGTCTACCAAGTTTGTTCAAAATAAAAGCCCTGGGGTCAAAATTGGCCCGCCCCAGGGGGTCATTGATTTTCCCTATATGCATATAGTAAAAACTTAAAAAATCTTCTTTTTAAAGAACTCAAAGAGCTATGGCTAAGATATTTAGCATGAAACATGTTCTAATAAGTGTCTACCAAGTTTGTTCAATAAAAGCCCTGGGGTCAAAATTGGCCCCGCCCCGGGGGTCATTGATTTTCCCTATATGCATATAGTAAAAACTTAAAAAATCTTCTTTTAAAGAACTCAAAGAGCTATGGCTAAGATATTTAGCATGAAACATGTTCTAATAGGTGTCTACCAAGTTTGTTCAAATAAAAGCCCTGGGGTCAAAATTGGCACCGCCCCGGGGGTCATTGATTTTCTTTATGTGTATAGCAAAAACTTAAAATCTTCTTTGGAAAAACCCAAATAGCTAGAGTTTAGATATTAAGCATGAAACATCTTCTAGTAAGTGTCTACAAAGTTTGTTCAAATAAAAGCCCTGGGGTCAAAACTGGCTCGGCCCCAGGGGTGTCATTGTTTTTAACTATATGTGTATAGTAAAAACTTAAAAAAAATCTTCTTTTAAAAAGCCCAATGAGCTAGAGCTTAGATGTTTAGCATGAAACATCTTCTTATGGGTGTCTACCAAGTTTGTGCAAATAAAAGCCCTTGGGTTAAATTGGCCCTGCAACGTTTGGGGGGGGTGGTTGGGGGGCTATATACAGGTGAGCGACCTCAGGGCCATCATGGCCCTCTTGTTTTTATTTGATTTCATTTTAGATATACATGTGTAGTCTATGTGCAAGGGAAAGTCCAGGTCCACTTTTCAGTCCCAGCCTTTGACTTCCCCGTATAAATATAACAAGCCTGTAATGTCTGATATATTGAAGAAGGCTTGATCAATCTTGCAAACAGCTGTAAAAAAACTTAAACTTGGCATTATTTCAACCGTTCAATACAGAAAAAGTCAGTGCAGTAATATTAAACACCAATAATATCACCTTTGATATTCTTGAGTACATACTATGTATATGAAATAATGTTGTAAGTAAAGTACACAAAACAGTAAAAAATTACCAATCGCTAAAACAGATTAATTCTACATTCTTGCTCCGACTTTTAACTAGGTGCACACATAACTGTTACTTTATCGAGCCATTTACTTGTGATCATGTTGTGTTTTAATTTATATGCAAGTTAATTTACACTGTTGGTGTGACATTGTGTGTAGTTATTGTGAAATAGGGTAAGACTGATTTAGGGAAGTCTGTTTTTAAACTCCCTGATTAAAAAAGGACAGGTGCCGTATAAATTACGCTCAATTAATTGCAGTCTTTACATCTGCGAGATAGAGGGCAATATGTCTGATGGATCTGCATATCATGTCACATTCATGTGTTAATTGCAGTCAGATATCACCAATTCAGTTTTGAGTTACATCCAGAGGGTACAGGCTTTCAGCTCATTTGTCTTGTCCATTATGATCAAATTATCATAAAATAATGATAATCTTCCTTTGATTGTCTAGAACAAAATTACTATCCAGCACTCATTTACTTTATATTATATACCTGAGGATAATGGTCAGAGTTATATTGCTACAAAAGTAATGCGGTGGTAAATAGAGCTGTCCTTTTGACGGCCTTGTTTGAAACCCGCATTGCAATATATTGTGATACAGTCAACTCATACTGTAATACATATAAATTTTCTCAATATTTGTTTTTAAATTTCTTTTTCAAAAGCTAAGCTTAAGGATAGCATGGACAGATTTTGCCAATTCTGTGATGTAGGTTTAATGTTACAAATGTATATTTTATACAATGACAGAAATAAGTACTGTAAGCGTCATTTTCTGATCTTTGCAGTACTACAGAGTTACAAAATTGTTTTCATTATGTTTCTATTTCAGTTCAAGGGTCTGTTTCAAGATGGTTTCATCCAAAATGTTTGTGTAGTACCCAGTCTCAATCTCGGGAAGATTGTTTCAGTAAGATACTTTATATTTAACAAACCTGAATTTACAGTGATTTTATAGAGCAATACATTGATAGACATATGAGTCACTTCATTGTTTAGAAGTATTTGTTAAATGATTACATGAACTGTCAGGGTAGACTGTGTTGTTATATTTTTCTGGTCCTCTGGGATGACATTGATTCCAGCACTTTTAAGAAGTGAAAATTGAGTACCGCTCATGCCGGTGCTGAGGATTGTTGAAAATTTTCATTATTCCTCATGCACAGACTAATTCAAATGGAGTCTTCAGTTTTCATGTTATTTTGTTGTGATTAATCCTCTGAGGAATCAGACTATCTCCAGATTTTTACACTACTGACAATTAAATTTTAGTATTTTGCTATTGAAATCAATTTTTGTATGGAAGAAGTAGAAAGAAAATAGTTTTTGTTTCACAAAAAAGATGTATATTTATCAGAAAATTCAAGGGTAGATATTGCTATTATTTCAGTAAACGTCAACCCTCCAAAGCCTGACTTGAGTACACAGAGTACTTCAGAAATTATTGATGAAGTTGGTAGAACTCTTGCACTGGCTGAGATTATGAAAGGTATGAACTTTTTTGTCTCTTCCCAGTTTTAAAGGGGCCTGGAAATAAATTTTCGAGATTTATGTTCCAAAAATATTTGATGTACATGTAGGTCTAGAGCAATAACTTGCATGCAAAATTTCAGATCATTCACCCACTCCATTTTTCCAGGATGATTATTTTCTACTAATAATAGCAAAAAAATACAACTTTCACTTTATTCTAATTATATTTGTTTATTATCTTTTAATTATTTTCCGTTTAAGTGAGCCAGCTAATTTATGTCAGAAATTCTAGTTTTTTGTTTTAGACATTTTGACTTTGGTGGAGTACTTTTAATGGACTATTTGTATATATATATTTACGAGCAGTTGAAATTTGAAAAATCTCAACTTTTAAGAGGCTGTGGGAAATATTTTTATTTTTTGGACACAAAAGTGCAAAGATCATGTATCAAATATGTTTAACATTTCAAATGCTCTGGAGTTGTGGCCCTTGAGATGTTCCTAAAAATTTCTAAAAAAAATTCTATTTAAGGAAGCTTGCTAACAAAATGAGTATTGTTCTACTGTTGTAGCTGTTCATGCCTGAAATGATTCATGAGACACCGGAGGTCGTCCTCCACCCGTGAATTTAGAATGTCGCCATATGACCATTACTGTGTCATTGTCACTTAAAACCTTTCCGAATAACAAATCACTTAAAATCTGATCCGGAGAAAGGAAGGAATGTAAACAACAATATAGGAGTAGATTTCGATAATAAATAACAAGAAACTTTCTGTTATACAAATATGAGCTGTGTCACAACAAAACCAACATAGTGCGTTTGCGAACAGCATGGATCCTGATCAGACTGCGTGCGCAGTCTGCGCAGGCTGGTCTGGATCCATGCTGGTCGCAAACCCACTGTGTTGGTTTTGTCGTGACACGGCTCATATATATATTTTTTATTTCAGGTTTTGCTATTGTACAGGGTATGATGTTTAGAGAACAGGCAACAATTAATTATCCATTTGAGAAGGGACCTCTGAGTCCAAGGTTCCGCGGGGAGCATGCATTAAGAAGATATCCATCTGGAGAGGAGAGATGTATTGCCTGTAAACTGTGTGAAGCTATTTGTCCTGCTCAGGTCTGCTCATTATAATATATAAATTGATATAAAATAATTTCTATCAGGGCTGTTTAAGGGCGGCTTCCCCAAAGAAAATTTTTTGAAATGATTAAATCCTGCAGTTTTTTTAAAAAAAAATATTTTTCTTCCCCTTTTACATAAATATCATATTATTTGCTCTAAAATTAGGGGAAGGGCTGTATCCCCAGTCTGTGAAAAAAGCCCTGTTCTTATAGGGCAGTAAAAACTCTCCCTTGAAGCTTGTCAGTTTAGAGGGAAAATAGCAAGCCTCTATATCATTGTTGTTGTTCTTATGCAAAACTTAAATGTAGCCCATTACTCAAACAATTTAAAATGTATGAGCAAGAGGTTTAGGAAACTTGATTATCATGTCAAGGCACAGTTGTAAGACAATTGGTATTATTCTGAAAGCTTTATTTTTTTGAGTTATGCCCCTTTTAATAACTGAGAACTTTGTCAAAATTTCTTATTAACTAAAGTGATTTGAAAACAGTATCATTATGAAACTTGGAATACTCGCTTCTCATGTCATGGTGTGACCCATAACAAACAAGCATGTGTTTTTCTTGACAACACTGTATAGGTTAAAGTTCATATTTAAGTGCGTCACGACAAAACCAACATAGTGGTTTTGCGACCAGCATGGATCCAGACCAGCCTGCGCATCCGCGCAGCCTGATCAGGATCCATGCTTTTCGCTTACAGACCCTTTAACAAGTAAAGAAACTGATAGCGAACAGCATGGATCCTGATCAGACTGGGCGGATGCGCAGGCTGGTCTGGATCCATGCTGGTCGCAAACCCATTATGTTGATTTTGTCATGACACAGCTCATTTGTTTTGTGAACATATTTGTTACAGGCTATCACTATTGAGGCAGAGACCCGTGCTGATGGCAGTAGAAGAACAACACGTTATGATATTGATATGACAAAATGTATTTACTGCGGTTTCTGTCAAGAAGCTTGTCCTGTTGATGCCATTGTAGAGGTAACTTCTTTGATGTCTGTAGTCATGTGTCAATAATACCAGTATAGAGCCAGGCCAGCCTGCATGTCCATGTGCCTGAAGTCAGACCAGGCTCTATAATGTTTATTGTATACAGCTAGATGTTGACATTTCTATTGATATCCCTTAACTCTTCCTTTGCTAACATCTTATATGCTATCCAGCTAGTTTATGGAACGTCGGTGGTTCTACTCAGGTGCCCGTTCATGCCTGAAATGATGCAAGGAAGCGCACCTGAGGTCTTCCTCCACCAATAAAGCTGGAACGTCGCGATATGACCTATACTGTGTCCATGTGTTGTAAAACCCAAAACAAACAAAAACATCTTATATAGACTTGTCCATCTTACAATTTGGACAAAAACATCATATTATTTAAAGGAAATATGTACTGACTAAATAAGGAACAGTGCAGACCATGATCAGACAGCTATGATATGCTGGCTAGCACTGGTCCAGTGAGTAGAATCATTTGATCCCACCTGGCTAAGGGTTAAACTAACATTACAGTTTTCTTATCTCAATTTGTAATAGTAGGGAAAGATGAGTCAAAATATTTCAACAATATTTAACTTGAGAAAAATGAACTAAGAATTAAGGAAAAGTAAAAAGTTTCAAGATTCAAGTAATATTTTACATATCATGTGCGAATAGTGACTGATTTTTCAGTATTTACAGCTATATTTCTACTGCGTTACTAACGCAGAAAGGCTTTTTATGCATATTATGCATATTTTGACTTTTTGGTAATTTACATGGTTTGTAAGTGCCATTGATAATGTGTAAATTGCTTTCTTTTGGTTACTTCACAATATTACACATTAAATACATTTTCAAAATTTTCATGAAATTAGCATGAATATGGCGGCATGCTGCTGTAAGAAATCTGTTTTATGTTGAAATTCATTTTACATTAGAGAAGACAATATTAAATGGTGGTTAATCCAGGAGTTACAGATTTTAGAAATAAGTTGCTCATTTATTTGGTATTAAAAGTGACTAGCATAAATGTAAATGGATATTTGTTAACATTGGTCATTAATTTTCATTTATATGCCCCCATTTGGATTTGTGTGTAGATTTGCCCTTCTCTGTCCATCCAGCTGTCATGAAAAAAGTTGTAGGGCATCCAAGTTTTATTCCAGTTGTTTAATTGTTCAAAATATTATATTTAATGTTCTGATTGATATAAGTCATGTTACAGGTATATACATATAGATAGTAATTATATCCGCATTACATATTCAGAAATCATGCTTGTAGGATATTTTATGCAAGCTTTATTTGCATCTGCTTAATTACTAAAATTACATAAAAGTATTGTGCAAAAAGGATCAGGTCACACTCTTGCAACAGTAATTAATTAATAACAGGGAATTACACTTTTAGCTCAACTGAGGTGAAAGTGCATATGTTTAAGCCTTTGTGATCATCTAATATCTTAGTGTTAAAGTCTGTCTGTCTTTCTTTATCCACATAACCACCATACCATGTTTCCTTTAAACTACTTTAACTAGCAGTTCTTGAAACTCTTGATTTACTTATGAATATTTCATCCACCACCCCTCCATACTTATGTTGATTTAAAGTATTTAGATTGTATAAATGTTTTGACCTTCATTCATGCATTCTCTTTGTTTTATGTCTCAATTTAAGAGCATCATGTTTGGAAAATGCAAAAATCTTTACGAAAACCCAGTACATGTATATATTTCTATATTTGTTTTAATCTCATCATACTTCAAGTTACACAGGGTTTTCTTTATTAACAGATTTGCATTCCTTATCATTGGTTAAAATGCTGTAGATTAGAATATCCCGTTTGACCAAATTGGTTCTTTTCGCTGGCTCATCTGTTGCTGTTGCCTCAGATAAAAATAAAAGCCCTTGTTACAGGATATATAATATTTTATGTACTTCTGTATGTATTGATGAACTTAATCATTTTCTACATCACTTTAAAACAATGCATGTTGTTGGTTTTTACCTAGTGAGTTTTAGCATGTAAGATGGTATTAATTTTATTGCTTCATACTTTCTTTGCATGACATTTTGAGATATCTGCTTTTGCATTATGAAATTGTTATATGTTGTAATTTTTCTGTAACATTGAAGGGCCCGAACTTTGAGTATTCAACAGAGAGTCATGAGGAACTACTTTACAACAAAGAGAAATTACTGAGCAATGGAGATCAGTGGGAACCGGCTATTGCTAACAATCTACAAGCTGATTATTTATATAGATAGGCATTTTTTGGTTCCCGGCTTTTTAGATTGTTTTGTTACTAGAACTTTTTTTTATTGAAGACTTTGTGACATTTTTGTGACATTCATGATTTGTTTCACATAAATATTGGAGAATATAAAATTACATTTGTATTATTTATGATAGTGGGAAATAAAGTTAGCTGCATATTTCTACATGATTCACTAGCAGTGCTTTGATTAAATAAACCATATATACATAAGCTATAAGCAACAGGCAAATATGAAACAAATATATATTATAGCTATGCTTTTTACTAAATATTGATAGAAGAAATTGTATTTAAAGCAGCTGAAATAAGTAGAAAGAAAACCCCTTTGTTAAACAAATTTGGTTATTCTTGTTACAAATCCTATTTTCCTGCAGAAGTATTAGTTTTTACATCAGAAAGTGACAATTATAAACAAAATGTAGAAGAAAGTATAATTTCACAAAAAGAAAAATAATAATCTCATTAAACTGTGATAAACAATAAAGTTTTTAGCATTTATTACCTCCCTTAACTGAAATTATTATGAAAAGGAATTGGAGCACAACACTAAATATCATATTGTTATACCAGACAAGTCATTTGAATGATTAAATGCTGAAATCTCGTCTTTTCACCAATGGAATGGAATGAACTTTAAATGTTTAATTCATCTTTTCATACTGATTTATATACAATAAGGAATGAAAAATTTTAAGAATCAGCGAAAAACAGCGATATTTTTCTATTTTTTTACCATGATTTCTTCAAACGTCTAGAGGTTTTCCTCCATCACTAAATCCAATAATTACATCCACAATCATACCAAATTATGTATATTGTTAATATTCAGGTTTGAAATATCTGTGATTGACTCTTATAGATTATATGCTCTATTCAGATTTCATGACTTCTTCTGGTTATTTATACTCAATATTTGTTGGCCATTCAGTTATTAGTTTGAAAACAGTCTCCACGAAAATGGTTTCTAGGGTTAAGGAAACATACTTCTGAATATTTTCATAGGAATGTATTTATATTCTGAAAGGAATTTGCTCTAGGTGTAGTGAAATAGGGTATATGTAAATATAGAAAAGCTGAAAGACTTTCATCTTAATGACATGCTGCATTTTTGCATATGTCAAATAGCATAATGATAAAGCCCAAAATGTTCATTTCAAGTTATAATTGTTTTCTTTTAAAGTTATTAGAAGGTAAACATAATACGATATATTTGGCATATGAGAACATTAAATAATCTTTACCCTGGTGTAACCAAATCTGTGCAGTCAGACCCCGGCTTGACACTGTTTGCTCATCGTCATCTGTTAAGCACTTAAAATTGATATTGGACTGTTTCTAAATTGATATTTCACTGTTTTAAGTTCAATATTGCACCATTTTAAAATAGGAATTGGACAACTCAATTCAGGAAATATCAGCAGTCAAGATTATGAGATAATTGAAATAACTCTTTTTTAATTTACATGAATTCTAAAAGTTGCTCTTACCAAATGTTTTCTTTCAATTTAATTTGAATATTAGTGCTTGTAACAGATATTGGATATATATCTGCAAATATGTTTTACAGATTTCTTGCAAATCTTACTGAATAACATATAATTTATTGCTTCACCTATGTCATAAATTATACAACTTTTGACTATTTGCTCTATCAGTATTCTAAACAAGATCTTAATGTCAACTATCATATAATAACACTGCATGGCTCAGCCTGATGCATATAATCTTTATTCAAAGCAAAGATTACAAGAATGTTGGTAAGTGTGCTTTACTTCACTAATTGTTTATGTCATGTGACTTTCTTTGTTAATTTCATGTGACTTTCTGAAAATTACTAGCTTTGAATGGTATTCATTTTGAATGAATTGAATATAGCTTACATTGTGAATGATGAACATGGTTATTATAATGCTTCAAGTGCCTGTATTTTACTGCTGTTACTGTTTATATACATGTAATTGCTTGGTGATGCACAGATTTTCTTTACTTTGTTATCAAGCATAGAATTTCTTTTGCTTTTATTATAGTTTTGTAGAACAGTTAATTTAGAAATCTTTTTTATACATGAACAATTTTATGTATAAGCTTATTGAATATTCATAGTCTGCAAATTGTTGAAATTTGTATTGGATGTTATTTTGAATATCTTCTTTACTGTTTTTATTTCAGGGCCCAAATTTTGAGTTCTCAACTGAAACCCACGAAGAGATGCTTTACAACAAGGAGAAGTTGCTAAGCAACGGTGACATTTGGGAGCCAGCTATTGCAAACAATCTGCAAGCTGATTATTTATACAGATAGACATTTATATAATTACCTTGATTATATGTTACTTGAAAATATATCCGTGGGTAGTCATGATTTATTACCCTAAGCATTTTACAGTGCTAGTTTAATACACTATTTTTCGTAGTTATCCGAGCATTCTATGTCGAAAAAAATAATGTAGATACATAAAATTTACTTTTATGTTTAACAATATCCAACTGTTTTCTTTCTTAATGAACATTTGTTTAGACTTCATGGCATGCACAGTAAGTGTGTTTACTCTAGGAAAGGGAGGATTTTAGATTCCCGACGATATGTATTAAAAGTTAATTAAAAAGTTTAGAATCCTGAAGATTTATACTTACCGCAACGAATATCTTTCTTGGACTTGTCTGTCCTTCAACCTGGACCAGATCATTCCTTATTTTAGGGAAAGTTTCGATTATGAAATAGATAATATCCTATTTGCTTATCAGTACTGTACACAATCATTAACTATATGTTGGGTTTATTGTAAATAATTGAAAATAAATAAATTGTTATATATACCAGGAGCTTGTGGTATTTAGACCATGCATGTTTATGAGGTAAATTGACTACAGTTAAAAAAGGCATTTCATCTACAAAACAAAATTAGGATACGAGCGAGGGGTTTACACATGTGTAAAATGGATACGAAGGAAAGGTCACAGCATACCTTTAGAAGAGCCGAATAATATGCTAGAATGTCTGTTTAGGTCTGCCTGCGAAGTTGTTTCAGTTAAAACTGAGAACGTCCGTACTAGTAGTACTTGTTTTATACGGTGACAAGACAGACCCATACGCTTAAGGCAATGTCAAAATTTGCCAGGAATCCGACACCATGTGTCTTAGAAGCTCACCAGAACCAAAGTTTCAGGATGAGCTATTAGTATCAAAGGGGAATGGTCCGTCGTCAAGCGTCAACAATAGTCTTCTTCTCTGAAACTACTGGGCAGATGTACCTCAAATTTGGTCTGTAGCATCCTTGTGACAGTCACACTTAAATTTGCGCATGTCATTTCAGTTGCCCCCTTTTAGGGGTCAACACAGGTAAAAATAGAAAAACATTTAAACATCACAAACCACTGAATGAAATGGTGGACGATCACCAAACTTTGTCTGTAGCATTCTTAAGTGGTATTTTATCAAATTTTGTCATCAATTTAATCGGACCCTGTCAGGGCTCACTAAAGCAAAAAATAGAAAAAAAACCTTTAATCGTCTACTGAACTAATGGGTGGATGATCATCAAACTTTGTAGCAATCTAGATAGCCTTTTATCAAGCTTGCTCATATAAAGTTCATAAGGGGCCGCTATAGCTAAAAATAAAAAAACTTTAAACAAATTTTTGAATTCGACTGGCCCTTTTAGGGGCTGCTAAAGCTAAAAATAGATAAACCTTTAAACGTCTCCTTCTACAGAACAAATTGATGGATGATCACCAAACTTTGTCTGTAGCATTCTTAGGTAGCCTTTTATGAAGTTTGCTCATATTAACTTCTTTTACCTTTTGACCTTTTTCTCAGGTCAGCGATCAAGTGCCCTCTTGTTCGGTATTTGTAAAGTTCTTGCCCTTAACTTAGTAAAAGATTTTTAGTTTTCAACTTGTGGCAGAGGGGCCCTCTGGGTCCTCTTTTTCAGTATTTGTAAAGTTATTGCCCTTAACTTAGTAAAAAATGTAGCCCAAAAATATTTGACCTAGCGTCATAATATTGACAAAACAGTGGATTGTGGGGGCATCCATGTCCTCTGGGCACATTTCTAGTTTGACAGTGCATTGCAACAGCCCTTACACTGATGCCAGGCCTCGACATTAAAAGCCACTGGTTCGTCGGACCACTTGAATTTTCTGTTTGTTGGGAGAATGGCGATTTGGTCAAAAACATGTTATATACATTTTGTTTAAAATCATTTGTCCGATGTACATGTTTATGGTTCATAAATATACAAAATACTCTTATGTCTGATTAGTTTAAGACTTTCTTAAGTCATCAATAACTTTTATTTTAAGTCGCTAATATTTTGTTTATGCAAGTTAAACGAGTTAAGAATTTGTGATATTAATTTTGGTATAAAATTCATTCAAATGACGCCAGTAATTATGCATCGTCGGATACCCACGGTGGAACCATTGACATTTATGTTATGTTACATTTTAATCAACCGCGAGTATCCGACGATGGTATTTGTGATATTGTATGGGATACCGGATAAACTTAAAATTTAATATACTTGACTTGAATAAAAAATGGCAGCAAACAAAAAGAACTGAAAAAATACATGTAGTAATTCTTTGCTACTTTTCTTTATTTAACTGTTTAACGATAAGAGATCTATTTCTTCCAGAGTTAAAATTACTTTAAAAGGTTAAAAATACTTAATGTCAAAAATAAATATCAACCAACAAGCAACAGGGATGTTAATATTCTGTTTCCATAATAAATCAGTGAGATAAATAAACTTAACTATAGTTATACATGTATATTTAAAATTGTTATTATTTTTTTATCCTTTAGATATTTCCTTGTTTTCAAAGACGAGAATAAGATAATTTATTAGTTTTATTAAAAACGTTAATCTGTAAAAGATACATGTAATTATCATGATTATAAGATGTACCACGTATCAGCAATGCATATTTGAATAACGGTAAGAAAGTAACAGACACAAATGGTTTCACTATTCCCTTGAGTTTAGGGAGAAATTTCAATATAAAAGTAAACATAAATATGAGTCCTGTTGTTTATTTACAAGGAGATAAAAAAAAACACCAAATAATTTAATTCACGATAGAATTTACCACCTGCTAAAAAAGTAAGTGTCGAGGTCTGGATGCGTTTTGTCCAAATCCGAATCAGTTCCCCTTCAGGTACAGACAACGTGCTCACGCATGATTTAATATGGCCTGGTTAATTTCGTTAACTACAGACAGTTAGACAGTCAATTTTATGTATGCGGATATTAGAAAACATTGTCTTTCCATTTGAAGAAAATGTATTAAAATGTTTTGCAAGAAAGCCAGAATTTAAAATTGGTCATGAAATGTAAAGCTAATGTACATTTGTGAATGTTTTCATTCGGCTGCGAAGCAGTCGAGTCTTTTATGATTTTGAATAAGACGCATGATTTTATGCGGAATGACACGTTTTATTTTGCAAGTCGTCAATAAAAACAAAACATAACACATACATCTTTTATGGAAGCTAGACAAGTTTAATTAAGTATTCAGCAGGTTTAAAGCTTCTTAAAAATTGTTTACACCCATTATTGATATTCATGTGTACATTTGTACCGTGCTTGTCTACAAAGAATGAAATGAAAATGAAATTTGTTCATGATACAATAAACGCTTAAGCTGGACAACTCTTGAATTTTGTATATTTTATTCTGTACTTGTAACTTTAATTTCAAACTTTCGTTCCACACGGTTTGTAGGCATCGGCAGGCCACACGCATGTCCCCATAGATTGCTCGAATACAGTACCTGGAAATATTGATGATTGAAACCGCTTTAACTTATACAAATATGTGTCACATTCTCATAAACTTTGATCAGAAAAATAAGTTTGTTTTTGTTAATGGATATAACGTATGTGTAAATGCGCTCACACAGTTGGAGCAAAACGTTAAGAGAGTAGAATTATAGAGTATACACATGTATTAATAAATCTATCAAATATGGAATTACAATTAAATGATTATTAAAATACCGTCAGATCAGGACGGTTTATAGATAACATGTACTTGAGCACGTCAAACTTTAGTCTAATATGCTTAAACGAGCTTATTCTTTTGACCGAATAACGAAAATTGATCCAGAAAATACTAGTATACCACTACGATACAAAGACAATCGCAGCCTTTCGTCCATTTACGTTAAACTTCTCTCAACATTTTGGTCCTTTCAGTTAAATTTCACTGGACTTTTTATCTTGTTCAGATTGCTTGTTAAGAACACAATGAAATCTTTTCCATTCAAACTTCCGATAAGGAGACGTATACACAAAGTATAGGTCAGATGACGACTTTCCAGCTTCACTGGTGGAGGAAGACCACGGGCGCCATTTCTTGCATTTTTTCACGCACAAACGGGCATTTGAGTAGAACCACCGACGTTCCGTCAGCTAGCTGTATGATATCCTCACATGAACGAACCCAAAGTCCCTCTCGGGGACTCGAAAGGTTCAAGAGCGGTGAGGGACATATTATGGTTTAAACATCAAAGAGTCCATTTGGAATCCTCATTTTGATAGAAAAGGCCGAAAAGGTGCAATGAACACAAATAAACCTAGTTAGATTATATATACCTGGAGTACAAAAGTTGTGTCCGTAGTAAACATGATGACTGCACGTGTAATAGGAGGTGCAGTTTAGTTTGTAGTCTGTGTAAGCACCATCAGGTTGATTTGAGCAGTCTCTCACGAGACCGCACGGGGGATCCACGTGATTCTGACTGTCACGGAAAGAAAGATAATGCTATTATAACCAAATAACCAATGCGAATATAATATGTATGTTTCCCTTCCTAAATTCTTGTGATGGCATTTAACAGATTTAAATCTAGCCAATGAAATAGTGGTTTTTCATTCTTCATATACTTTAAAAAGTTTCTGAGTTTGCGAACCCATGGAACCTTTTCTTTTAGATCTGTATATTGTTTGAAACTTCCGTTGAAAAATAAGAAGTTGTAATGGCAGGGATGACTGTGGCCAATTCCTTTATTCATTCAGATTGCCTAATATTCATCCTAGAAGTAAAACTCGTGGAGAGAATTAATGGAGTTCGACCGGCAGAGTATGAATAAGAAAAAAGAAACCTTTGACTATATATAATGTTTACTTACTAATCACACGCTTTTGTCACGTTGTTGTAGACCTTGTTCTGTTTACACTCAACTGTTGTCAGAACGTGATTTGTACAAACATCATACACTTTACATCCTATATTGTAATGTCCGTCGGGCAAAGTCGAGCAATCTGTCTGTCCATTAGCTGCAAGATTGAATCAAAGTATGTTATAGTGAACTTGCTGATTTATTATATCAAATATGTCGTTAAATTTATATAGTTTTTTTCTTAATTTGTATAGTGTCAATGATTCAGACCTATCTCTCCATCAGTAAATGACATGGGCCTTAAACTAGCTTCCACACGTCAGTGTGAGCGAGAAACATGTAATGCATAAGACACATGGGCAGACATATTGGGCGTACTTAAATTTTACAAGTTTGTTTCTGTTGTGAGAAGTTTGTTGTTGTTTTTTTTTTTGTTGAATAGTAAAACCCTATTCAAAAACAATAATTTCAAAGGATTAAACGTAGATGATATTTTCCGATTTTTCCTTTTGTATATCATCAATTTCATACGCAAAAATGCAATCATTCTCAACACTGGGAAGGTCTGATGAACTAAAATAACAGTCATAAACAGGATCTTGGAAAATACAGTGGACAGCTTTAAAGGATCTTTCAAACGTTTTCTTAATCAAGAATAAAATAAGTATAAAAAAGGAACTGACCGCCAATAAAGAATGCACAAATAAAGCACAGAAATCCAAGCATGATCACCCTATGTTTAATGTAGAGATTATAATTCACGTATGGCGTGGTAATCTAATTTATATTGCACAATGTATATGTCGAATGAGAACATCATGGAAATTAGATAAGATTCCACTCATGTCGATGGATTTTCGTCACAGGTTAACCTCTGTCACAGTGTTATCAACTTATCAGGCATCATTTTGATTAATGCAACGCTATCTAAAAATAAAAACTTCACATACAGTACCAACAATACCTTTCGCGTCCATATATAGATTGTAATGAATTGATATTCTTTTTAAAACAAAACAGGAATTGTGCAAAAGTAACGCAGAATTGTGCAATTTACTAATTTTAGTGGCGAAAACGAGCACCGCGATAGGTATATGGACCAATATTTTTAATTGTACACCAAATTGGAAGAAATGAATTAGCGCATACGTTTGCTAACTGTGTTTTTCGGTTTGGCAAAAACGTTGCACAAATTTGGCTCTACTTTTACGTTATTTGCACATTCCTGCCTAACTGGATATGCACGATGCCTTTACTCACATTGACTGTAGTGAAATGAAGTCTTAAATGCATCTTAAATGTTAATCTAAATGCAGAATTATTAGACAGAAGATACAATTTCATATGAGTGTATGTATCAGCTCAGGGGCAATAACTCTAAAATTTATTATTCTTTTCTCGGGAGATAGTTATATAAAATGGTTAAATTGCAAATGTTATGATAATATCAGAAAAAAACATTTATATAATTATTATTAGTTGATTGACTATGGCTATTATAGCTTTTTAAGTTCGAGCCCTGTTAAGACTATAGTTTTTTTTCTCTCCATGGCTATTTTTAATAAATCCTCGACCGGCTGCATAAATTTCATTTTCTGATAATTTAAGGCTCTGCTGTTAGTGTATATACATGCATGTAAGTATTTAACATACATAAATCGACCTTATTTTGATTTATAGGACACGGGATTAATAAAAATAATCTTGAGGCGGAGATGGCATATACAACAAGTATCCTTGATTGATAAAAACATATTAAAAAGCAACAAACTTACTTACCTTAAACTTTGTCCTAAATTTATACATTTTTATTAAAGGCACGCAATTCTTAACTTCCATTCTAGTTCTTGTGGATGATACGCTAACTCGGTGTTTTTATACAGTGAAAATGATGCTGGTGAAGATACTAGGACTTTATCTACTTGTAATTCAACAAGGATTTGATAGTGTACAAGGTAAGATAATTATGTTAATACTTAAATATTTAATTTTTTTAAGATATAGTATGCTGCTCTTGCAAGGTTTCGATGTTCCTGTCACAAATTAACGATTGGAATGGGGAGACAAAATAATATACCACTTCATGAAAGAAAATGTTTATTTTTTTTTAACTTAAATAATGTAACTGCTAGTGATTGTGAATTTTATGTCTTTTTCAATGTTCTAAGTATAATGACATTCGAACTAATTATCACTATAATTGGTATTCAAATGGTACTGCAATCAATGATTTTTATTCGCTGATGAATACACAAAATGAAGAAAAAAATTGTAAACTATCTCTGTACTTCACTCGTTGAAAAGTAACAGCTCTTGACTTATTTTATTCTAATTTCAAATGTTATGCAACAACATTCAATACATGTATACAATATTATATTTATACTGATGTGTATTATGGACCGGAGGCCTTTATTTATTTAGATAAAGTTGAGTTTTTTTAGTTGCCATATTCGTGCAGCATGACCACAACCTTGCACTATAGTCTGCACTGTCATGTATCGGCTTCTCTGGCCCGAGTTAAGAAAATAAATTTAATTATATGCATCTGATATGGCTATAGGGCTAGTCAAGCTGTTTCAAATAGAATTCACTGGACTAGTAGAAACTACCTGTTACATCTATAACATTGTAAGTAAAGCATAATTTGAAAATAGTGAATTTATTATTCATAAATTCATTGCTACGTCAACGTTATATTACCGGGTATTTTCAAAGAATACTAGTACTACCAAATACAGTTAAAACACTTACATGAAATTAATTTTGTCTATTACTTCAGCGTCTCCAACAGGTCGTCTGCTTGAGAAGGTAATTAACGGGGAAGATGCCGAACCGGGCTCGAATCCACACCAGGTCACCGTCCAGTGGTTCGCATTTGGTCAGTTTTGGTACCACATGTGTGGTGGATCAGTTATTGATGCTAAATATGTGCTGACAGCAGCTCATTGCGTCGACTATGCGTAGGTATTCAAGGAATTAGTTCAGATTATACATGTATGGGATTTGTTTAAGTTCGGTTGCGTTTGAAGCTATTAGCTCGTTGAAACACTTTCAAGTCCGTTCTTGGAACCAGCCAGTACTTGTCAAGGTCCCCATCAGGGTTTTGGCTCAATGACAGGTAGTGTTAAGCAACTTGTGTAATGTTTCTCGCTCAAGGAAACAACGGCTTGTCCCAACCATGCGACTTGCAAGCCCGACGCGTTAACCGCTCGGTCACACTTGCATAACTAGTATAGGACCATCATTCGAGTTAATTTATTTCAATATACTCAAATCACGGGGGGGGGGGGGGGACTGTTACAAGAGGGATGGAGTTCTTATGATAACATGTCAGAAGTTCTTGTGATAACTGTTACGGAGTTTGTAGTATGTACAAAAGTTTTCCGACGAACTCCGTGACAGTTTTCACAAGACCTCCTGACAAGTTATCATAAGAACCCCACCCTTCGTGTAACAGTTCCTCCCCGTGCAAATACAGAGTGTTTAATCATGCGATTTTACAAAATGAAATGACTATTTAGTTTTTCAATTTTTAAACCTATATAAAACAAAAAATAAGTAACATACACTGTATTAATAGTGCCACAGTCTATCATTTTACAATGGCGCTTTCAAGAAGTTTTGTTATTATTAATTTTAAAAAAAGATTTAGAATTGTTTATCCTTCGAATATAACATATATATGATAGCATCAAAACAAAAATCATGGTATGATTATTTACATAAATATTCGTTTTGAAGATTTTCAATTTCATACAAACCAGTCTTGAACTATATCCCAGATAATTACTTAATGATTTATCAAAAATCGAACTGATATATTCCAGTCCAGCAGAAGAGTTCAGAGTTATAGTGAACGATCACAGACTAGAGGATACGGATGTTGGTGAACAAGAGATAAGAGTTCAAAGAATTTATATAGTATGTATGGCATATTAAACGTTGCAATATTCAATAAATTTAATTTTTGATCTGTATCCAATATTTATATGGTAAAACTCTGATTTTATATGCTATACCATAATATCTATTCTATCCTACTAAAAATATTTGTTCATTAATAAAAATTTGTGTGCGATAATTTTTTACAAAGCGAATACCAGATATAATATTTTCCCGAGGGGCGTATATTAGAGCTGGTTTTCACGAGTGAAATATTATTTGATCTTATATACTTTTTTTGTCATTTTTGAGCACCAAAAGGTATATTAATTTTCACGAGTGGCCAGCCACGAGTGAAATATGAACGTTTGGTTTTCACGAGGTGAATTATATTTCGATCTTACACTAAACTTGACAAATTTTCTTTTTATTACATGCAAAGAAACGTTAGTGAAACGCACCCCTAAAAAATAACTGTTGACATTCAAACATTTCAAGAATATAAAAAGTAAATTATTATCTTTTATTTTACTCCACAAATAGACAAGAAATTTTACGAGTCTTGTTCATTAATTTGCAGCACCATGGTTGGATTCCCACTCAGGATTATGACCTGACATTATTTCCAAATGATATAGCACTGCTTGTTCTACAAACGGAAGTACTGGACAAATCCACCATCATTCCCATGGCAAGCGATAAAGATGAAGATTTCTCTGGAGAAATGTGTACAATTAGCGGCTGGGGTCTGAACGGTAGGTAGCAAATGTTAATACTAAATATTAAGCATCATGCCTGTAATGTTTGCGCTTTTCGGGTTACAATTAATGACACAATTTAGTCTAAGACTTAAACCCTTTGCATGCTGGGGAGAAATATCGTAATAAGTGGATCTAAATTAAAATGAATAACAAATAAATAAATGGTCTATGGTATAAAATAGAGAATATTGAATGACTGAATGTACATTCCCATTACTGCATATGAATTTATTGCACGAGTTGAACACAATTATAGAATAATATTATTGTTTTCAACAAGTTCAGTAAATTTAGTAATGCAACTACACGAATATACTATTATATTTATCACGTGTCCAACATAAGATCAAATTTAGTGAATGCTATCATTGGGCGCGTATTTATACAGTTAACGCTTTGAAGCAGCGGCGTATATGGATGACGTCACGGTTGTCCGATTAAAAGAAAGACCTTATCAATTTGCGGTATTATAAAGTTATATTATCAGTAAATCCAATTTACAGATACTAATGGAGTTATTCCGAATGTCCTGCAAGAAGTGAACATCACTGTGATGAGTGTGGCAGATTGCGACGAGTTTTGGAATCAGCTTTGGCCGAATACCACATTACACCTGTATCCAGGACAGATCTGTGTGTTTAATGGGGAAGATCCAGTCAACGGGGCAGCTGCTTGCAGCGTGTGTACATAGAATTATTTCTTGACGGAGACTTTTCTTACATTGGGGTAGGGGTGTAAGACAAGTTTTTCTAGCACCGGCGTAAGCGGTAGATAATTCTATCTGATATGCAAGAAAAAAATATATGCATAGGAAGCTTTCGGTGCCAAATATCTATAGGATATGGTAAGGGCGTCAATGGGTGAGTGGTAAAGGTCGTTGACTTCAACCACTCCCCACCCCCACCGCTGTTGATTCGTATTCTTTCATGTGGTGGTTCTATCCAACTAGCTTACGGAACGTCGGCGGTTCCACCCAGGTGCCCGTTTGTGCCTGAAATAATGTACGGAAGGGCACCTGAGGTCTTTCTATACTACACGTAAAACCCAACCAAATACAATCTATAATATATTGGTTCAACGCGTAAGGAAACAAAGTCACCGTTTCACTGTCAGACGATTGTTTTATTTATAAGCAATTATTTCTAGTTAACTTACATAATAAACGAAGTGGTTT